TTTTAAAAGATAGGAGGAGCATCCTGTCACGAGGCTCTCGCCAGGCCAAAGGTGGGATTCACTAAAGTATACAAATCTCGAAAGCCATAAGTGATTCCTGATGATCCACAGCAACGCGCTACAATTCCCTATGAATTGCCTGAGAAAGGCCGCCATCTGGGAAGATGCGATTCTCACTTTTTGCCACATGGTGTCGCTGCTGGAAAAGCATCCACTGTGCTGCCTGGTTCTGCCTGCAAGTGACAACATTCTAGCTGATTTTCTCTTTTCTTGCATGTACTTGGTTAGACCAAAATCGGATCGCGGCACTGTTTTTTTCTTCTTCATATCCAAGGCAAAATTCAAATGAATTGACCGTGGCAGCTATTTCGAATGCTCACCAATTTTCCCAATGTCACCTAGCAAAACACAAGAAAGATGATGGCCCCCAGCCTGACTTTGCACGTGGCAAGGGCATGTGACGGTCAAGCCAATGAGCTGTGACTTCGTAGTGCACGTCATTCCCGGGCTAGTGCTTTTAACAGTCCCCGGGCCTGCGATGTGAACTGAGGGTGCTGTGAATTCAAGTGCAGTGACCGGAAACTAGCCTCCAACCGTCTAGATCAGCAAGGCGCAATCAGAAAGCCACCAGCCACGCATTCTGTGCATTGCAATCTAAGTTTAAATAAACTAAGATAAAACTGTTCCCACTCCCGCCACATTTGATGCACTCATAGGGCTTGGTATTGAACTGGGCATATACAGAAAAATTCCACCATCACAAAAAACGCGTTGGCCAGTGCTGTTCTATCTTACTGCATGGATGGACGCATAGACTAACTTGCCTCCGAGGGGGCTTCTCCTGTGTTGTTTTACTCCATTCGGGTTGGGGTTGCCTGTTTCCAGACTGGCCCAGATTTCTACTTATTCAAGAACTTGGGGGTCTTGTGTCATTCAAATAATCAGCTAGTGCAACTGGACTCAACCAAACGGAGAGCTGAGAGCCAAGAATGATCACACCACTCACCCCAAAATCTGAGCTAAATTGGCAAATCTAGATTAAGATCACGGATATAATTAAACCCTGGCAGGTTTTAGTTATTTCCTTGATCTGTCCTAACCTGGCAGAGGACTAAACCACCAGAGGCATGCTCTGCTTCAAAAATCATCAGAATCATCAGAAACAAGGACAGGCGGAGGCTTTGACTCATTGCTATCCAGGCAGCCTCATGAGTCATCAGCTGTTGGTATAGGGGAGAAACTCATTACTTTCCTCCCGGAATGAGAGACTCAAGGTCTGCGCATTCATCAAGTTAGGACTGTATTTGACTTGAGGCAAGTGTGTACATCATGACCGTCAATTCACTGAATTCCTCAATTCTGAGGGAATCTGATGGGGGATCCTCATGCAACCTTCAGCCAAGGAGGTTATAAAATATCATTGCTATTCACCTGTTAAGTCTGCTCCTAGGTATGTGTGCAGACCTCAGAAGAGCTGTTCAAACAAAATCTTGTACATGAAAGCATCACAAAGTCAAAAAAAATAACGTACTGAATGGGAACATTCTACTTTGGGATAGCTATATCCATACAAAGGAATATTATTCAGCTATAAAAAAGAATGAGCACTGATACCCTCAGAACAAGGATAAAACTTGAAAACCAAACTGCCAATTCTATCACATTTTGCTGCTGGAATCACATTCCCACCTGAATGCAAAGGAATGTAGACCCCAGCTCTCAATGGCAAAAGTGTCTCTACGAGCCGAACTGTGTTCCGATTCCTACATAGAAGACCTGGCCCCTAGGACCTCAGGTGACTGTATTTGGAGAGCTGTCATAATTAAGAGGTCTTTTGAGTGGGTCCTAATCCAATCTGACTGGTCCTTCTAGGACATTCGGCCTCTTACAAGTCACTATAGATAAGACATAGCTAAGAGGCCTCAAAAAAAGCAAAACTGGGGGTCTCCCATGTGGCATAAGGGGTTAAGTGTCAGCACTATCAAACTATGGGCAGCCCTGCAGCCTGAGTTTGATCTCCTACCAGCAAGTTGACCCACATGGTACAGATCACTTCTGCCTTACCTGCTGCTCCCCTCAGCAGCATATTTTAGTAGATCCACCTGTTCTGCTCCCCAGTCTCTAGTGAATCCTCTCACCCACACCCACCCCATATCTCTGGCTTACACCCCAGCTATTACATGCATAATTTTTAAAAATACAAAGCAAACCCACAGATAACTTTTGATCTTGGACTTCAAGCCTCCAGAAGTGTGTCTAACTACTTCATTAGGACAGCCCTAGGAAACTAGGGCATCAAAGGATTTGGGGCCATGTTAAGATTCGAACAAAGGTTATGTGGAAACTTCAGTCTCCTTTAAATTAACATCACCACTGGTATTTCCTCATCTGCAAAGCTCCGGAGTCACAGTATTTACTGAGGCACCAGCTTCAGTGGTACCCTGAACCTCCTGGCTAACTTCCTGGACAGAGCGGTGAGACAGTACAGTTTCCAGGGGTAAAATGAAGAACACAGGCACATTTTGTTAAACTCATCCAATGTTTATTGAATTGTGAACTGTTGCAATTGCTGCTGAAATCTGAGACTCACTCATCCTGGTGCCTCTCAAAACTCCCCTGTGAAGGAAGCCTGGAGTAAGCCCTCCCTCCTCCAAACACCACAGGAACAGAGGATTCAGGGAAAGCAGGAAGATGGTTGAAAGTGGGAGACAGGGGAGGACAGGACCAGTGTCAGAGTTAGATTTCCAGGGAACACACACCCACACACACACTGGCAAAGACCAGGAGCTTCGATCTGCCTCCACCCGGCAGCCGCAAGAACATCAGGGAAAGACCAGGCGTCCATGAGACATTTCAGTCCTTCCCATCATGAAGCGTCTGTGGAGAGGGGCTGGGTCAAGCGTGCTCGCTGGGCTGTGCAGAGAAAGGTGGGGAGTGAGTGGGGTGAGCATGCAGAGGTAGAGGCGTGTATAGAAGAAATGAGCAAAATGGAGAAAACAGTCTCAGATAGTTGCTGAGGCACAAGGCTTGTAAGAGTTCTCAGCTGAGTCTGAAACTCTGAAAAACTGAGGCGATGCAGAAATGCAGATGGGTGGCCACCAGCAAACTTTGGAGTCTGGTGCCTAGGGCCCACCGGACTGGGTAACCAGAGAAGGCACCAGCTGAAAGTGGCTTCTGTCACCTCCACTCAGCCCACACTGGCTCAGAGTGCCCCATGCAGTCCTCTCTGCCGGTTGCCAGGTGATCAACTACCCACTGTGCAGAGCTTGGCTACCCACCTTGCCAGGCTCTGAACCCTTGGAATGTCGCTAACTGAGAGACTCGTGGCTCATCTGGGGCCTCAGGTCACCCCAAGCGCTGGTCTGTCCTAAACTAACAATGTGCTTCATGGCATGTGGGTCCCTGGGCCAGGTGGCAGTAACTCTTGAGTTTTGGAAGGGCTGAAACTAAGGTCAGTCACTCAGACAATCAGGCACATCTGTGTGAACAAGCCCAACAAAAACCCTGGATAATAAGGCCCAAGCAAGCTTCCCTGGGGTGATATTCTGAATTATCACACATTTGAGCTAGGAGATTGACTGCTCCCCAGGACTCCACGGGAAAGACAACTGGGAGTTCATGACTGCGCTTTCCTGCATGCACGCACCTCTTCCCGCGCTATCATCTATAGCCTTTCAATGTGATCAACCACAACTGTTGGCGCCACCCCTGTGAGATCTGAGCCCCAGCAGATCACAATGAACCCAAAGGCAGGACTGAGTTCTGCAAAAACATGCAGCAAGTCATTCTTCTCAGATGCCCTTTTCCTCCCTTTCTCTTGTATAAATCCCATCTTTGCTTATGCTGGATGAAATCATCTATGGCTGGGCCTCTCTGGAATGCAAGTAAACCTCATGCTGACTTAAGCCCACACCTGTGAATTAGACAGCTTGGAAGTGGCAGTTGGGGAGTTTATGCAAGGGATGAGTTCCATTTTCGTCTTTAAGAGTTCAAACTGTGGGAGGGTGACTCCCACACTCCTTACAGCACCAACCTGCTATTTTCTCAGTTCCTGAGCTTATTTTTTTTTTAATTTGAGGAGACTTGCTTCATTTCAGGCCTGCACAGGAAGGTCTGTGTGTTTGTACTGCATTACTTCAAATGTGCAAGTCCAAATTCACATTGACATGATTGCAGCGCTCTAGAAAGGACTCCAAGAAATGGAACTTGGATGTAAAGAGTTTAAGAGCCATTTCTCTGGTTCACGTTTTCTGGGGGCAGAGGCTCAGGCCCACCGTACAGTGGGGGGGATTCTTCGGGTTAGGGTGGTCTGGTCTGCAATGGGAACCGGCACTCAGGTTCAGGTAGTAAAAAATGCTTTTAAGCTTTAAGTCCAGGTACCAGAACCTGGCTCTGGACTGTGCTAGATCCTACCGTTTGGGGCTCATTTGGAAATCAGGTGTAGAAGGTGCTGATGTGCAGACATGGAACCGCCACTTGTCCTGGAATGTTGGCACTGGGAACTAGCACAGCTGGCTCTCACATAACATGGAGGGTGACAAAAAAGCCTGGTCACAGCCAACGTTAACTTAAATGACCTTATTCACGGACCAGCTTCTACTAGGCATCATTTCACTTTAAATCAGTTTCCAAGAACCTACTGAGGATCACTCCGCCTGGCTCCAGAGCAAGTAGGAGCTAGAGGGAATCTGGGAGCTAGCAGTCAGCTAGCCCTGAGAGGTGCCCTCACCTCTGCCTTCAGGGAACATCAGCCCTGAGCCAGGGCAGCCTTGATGGCGGCCACCAGCTTCAGAAACTTGCTCTCCGAGTCCACGTAGCCATCGCCGCTCTGGGCACGGAAAGAAGAAAGAGGTGAGCTGGGACACCAGTGCCAGCCCCAAGCCCTCCACACATACCCTCCTCACCAGCCCCCAAATGAGACGGGACAGACTGGCAGGCATACCTTCTTGGAGTGAACCAACTTTCCAGCTACCATCACTTCAAAGAACCCGGTGACCTGGGGAGTCCCCTCGCCACACTGAGGGAAAGAAAGGATGCTGGAGAAGCTGAGATGACATCTTTGGGGACCCCCCATCCTTTCCCAGGGGAAAGGTGGTCGAAGGGTAGGGCTGATACAAACCATCCCCCACTGCCATACAAGAGGGAGGGACAGATGAAGTACACCCCGCACCCCGGGAGCCCCTCCCCCAATACTCACGATGTCCAGGCGTCCGGGGAACTCATCTTCTAACTTCTTCTTGAGTTGAAGATACTAAAAACGGGGCGGGAGGCCACCACAGGGGTCATCGGGGGCCCAGGCTGGCCCTCCTCCCTGACACGCCCAGGCCAGGCACCACACTCACCTTGGACTTGTAGCCTCAAGCACCACTGGTGGAGAGTCCCAAAGAGGGGTGTCAGGGGGATCCAAGGAAGGAGGGCAGAGGTGGGGGGGCAGGGAAGGATGAAGAGGGGCACAGCGACATAACAGAGAAGGGGACAGATCCCCTCAGGAGAGGGAGAGGAGACACACAGTGTTGGGGAGAAGAATGGAGGTGAGGGGCGAGAAACACACAGGCAGGAGGTGGCCAGCCCACCCCAGGGAAACACAGGGCAAGGGGGATGCATGGCAGTGAGGGGGGCACAGAAAGGGAGGGACAAGGCGAGCCCACGAGGAAAAGGGGGAAGGTAAAGGGTGGAATTAGGGAGGGAGGAGAGAAAACAGAACTGGGTCAGCTCAGAACCACAGAAACAACACTCCTCCTCCCCACCCACAGCAAGTTCCAAGGAAAATCACCATTCCTGGGTTCTAAGGCCGCCCCTCCAGAGGATGAAATCCAAACTGGCTATCTGGGGCAGGAATCTGGTGTACAGGCCATGCGGCCCTGTCAAATAGCACCCACCCTGTCCAAGAGGACAAGGCCATTCTAAAATTGAGGCGCATCTAAAGCTGAGGTAGATCTGAATTGTTTCCCCAGTGAGCTGTGGTCTGGACCCCAAGTTACTAACCTGCCCCCCACCCGCCCAGGCTCATTTTCTCCACCAGTAAGAGGGAGCAAGAATTCCACTCTCTGGTTTCTGGGAGGGGACATTCAATGCGCCTGTATTTATCAGGCGTTCCCATGCCAGCATGCCGGAGCCTGCAGGCAGAGGGAATAAAGCAGTCCAAGGGCGGGAAGATCCCCGCCTTCCCGGGGCCTTTTAGCGACGCCACCCAGCTCTGCATCTGCTGACTTCAGAGCTTGCTCCTCTACCCCAAAGGGCGGAGTTAGAATCCGGGAGAATGCAAGTACTGTGTCCTTTCCAAACACCTGCAGGCATCTTCTCCACTCTGGCCACCGCCACCCCATGATGGCTCATTACACGGAACCTCAGGTTCCTACACCTCCCACCACCCGGGCGCGCGCGCTCCCCAGCGGCCCCTAGTCGAGGCTCCTGGAGACCGGGGGGCTGGGGTCGGGGGTTACAAATGGACAAGCGGCGCAGCCTGCCTTTCCTCATCTGCGATATCCAGCATCGAGGAGAGGGCTCAACGCCCTCTAATCTTCGCCCAACCTACTTAGGAATCCTTTCCCCAAGGAGGGTACCCCCAAGTTCCTGCCCCCAGCTCAGCCGGAACAGAGGCCCGAGGCGGGGCCGGGTGGCGAGGGGGCCGCTGGCCGTCGTGCTTACCAATAAACGACTCGCACAGCGAGAGCCATGACTGGGGATCGCAACATGGGCTGCGGCGCGGACCTGACTTCCACCCTCCTGCGCGCGCCGCGGGCTCCGAGTGCGCGGGGCTGGGTCGTGGGCACAAAGGACTGTTAGTTACCCGGCGTTCCACGGCGCGAACCAACGCGAGCAGGCGCGGGGAGGAGAAAGCCCCACAGCGGGGTGCGCGGAGCCCCGCGGCCAGCTACCGCAAGCCCCCCCGGGGCCATTCCCTCTCTTATACCCCCAGTCGAACTCGGGGACGTGTCGACAGAGGGGGATCCCGGGAGAAGCCTAGGGCGCCCCCACCCAGATTCCCCCCTCCTGATGGAATGGTATGGTCTCACGGGCGGGGTTCGGAGCAACCGCGGCGGGCTGGAAGTGGGATTGCTCGTGTAGGCGATCGGTGCCTTCCCAGGGCCGGCCTGCGCGACTCTTCGGAGGCCCCTCTGCTCTCCCTGAAGGGGCAAGAGCGCCGAATCGAAAGTGTTTTGGGGTGCGTGAAGCAGAGTTTTCCAAGGGTCCCCCCCACCGTCCCTAGATGCGCTATTAGACCCGGCAGCTGGACCTGGGCGCAGACTGGGCCATCACTGTCCCTTCTATGGGGGGAGGGGTCCTCCAGCCTCAGCAAGAGGAGCGTTCACGGAAAGTGCTGGAATCTGGTGGCTAGTGACGAGATTAGGACCTGGAAGCCTCTGTCTGAGCCTCAATTACTCGTCTGGAAGATGAGTGAAATTATTTTCCAGGGATATTTATTTAACCCATTTTAATACTGATGTTGGAGGACCCCAGGGATTGCGGGGAACACAGAGCCGCCCCTAACCCAGTCTGGAGACTGTCAGGGAGGGCTTCCTGGGGGTGGAAACTGCTGAATTGAAAAATGGAGGAGAAAACTGTTCGAGGATGGAGGAAAAACCTCTGGGCAGTGGAAAAAGAGGTCTGAGGGTCCCTGTCCCCTCAGCTTTTCCATATTTTCCATACCCAAACCAAGCAGGGAGTCATGCAGCATTCATGCTCTTCAGTAGCCCCTGGGTCTTGCATACACAGGACCTGAGGCCAGGGGCAGCGAGGGAAGCCAAGGTACAGTGAAAGAAGGGGAGCTGCCTCCCAACTCAGGAGGGTAGGGAAACCCCAGGCCTGTGTCTGGTACCTTAGCTCAAGATATATACCCTCATTTACTTCAGAGACTATATCCATGTAAATTATCCATAGTGATGTAGTTAAATTTGTTCTTTGGGGGGCCTCCCTGGGGGTGCAGAGGTTAAAGACAGTGCTACTAAGCGATTGCCAGTCACTGTGGCCTGAGTTCAATTCCTGGCCAGGGAATTGACCCACATGGTTCCTGTCTCATCTGCTGCTCCCCTCAGCAGTGGATTTCAGTGGATCCATCTGTTCCCCTCTCTGTTTCTGTCTCAGAGGGTGAATCCTCTCACCCTCTGCACCTCTGGCCTATACCTCAGTTCATGTATACATAAATAAATCCTTTTTAAAAAGTTGTTATTTTCTCCTGCTAATCTATTCGATGTTGTGTTTATGGCTACAGAAGGGAAATAATTATGCACTAATCCCTATGGGAAATTCTAGCAAATCTCCAAACCTGGAGTGGTTTGGGGATCTGGTCACACCCAGAGACAGTGAGAAAAGAATGTGGAAAAAAAAAGTCAGCGAAAGTAGACACACACATACACAAGCTCCAACCTCTACCCACACTGGTCTACTGCATTTGAGCTTGAGGGGGCAGACAGGAAGCATACTTCATGAAATAGAGGTTCTACCAAGCTGGGAAGGGAGTGTATAGGTAGTTCTCACATATTTGGGGTATAAAACATCTCCCCATGTTATAAAGATTTTGAATGGGATGCAAAATACAAATGTTCGGTTCCAGATCCCAAATCCCAAATCTTTACCTGCAGCTGCCTACTTTGTCTACAACTGAGTGTTTAGCAGGTCCTCAAACGCCAACTCCAGATCACCCATCCCCACCTCATGGTACCTCCTCCTCAAGTTTTCCCCTTTTGTGGCCCTCCCTGGTGATACAACTGGTTAAAATGCTGCAGTTTGAAGCCATCTGCAGCCACTGAAGCACTCGTTAGATCCCCAGCCAGGGAGCTGAGCCACATGGTGCAGCAGACCTCTCCTGTCTCCCCGCTGCTCCCCTCAGCATTGTATTTCAGTGTATCTCCCTATTCTGTCCCCCACTCTGTCTCTGGTGAATCCTCTCACCCCTGCACCTCAGGCCTGTACTCCAGTTCTTGTATGCATAAATAATTTTTTAAAAAAATGTCTTACCTTTTTGGAAATATGGTGTCTCCAGACTAAATTGGGTATCTTGGAATCACCTAGTGATGGTGAATCTATTTTCAAAATGTGTTCCGAATGCACCTCCCTTCCTTCCATCTCCACCTGCCAGCACCAGCCTAACCTTCTCAAACCATGATTCCACCGGCTCCCTACACTGTCTTACTCTCCCCACAACCCTCTGGCGGCCACCAGGGGGCTCCAGAGCCCACTTACTGCAGCTCAGATCACTGCCGGGCTCCCTGCGGCCTCAGAGTGGTACCCCCTAGACCAGAAGGGAAACAAAATCTTTCTTTCTGATCTTACCTACTGCTTATTCCCAGATACACTGGCCTCATTTATCTTCCCGAAAACATAAATGACACACTCAGTTTCTCTTTAAAAAAAAAATATATATGTATTAAATAACATTTAATATTATTTATGCATACAAGAGCTGGGGTGCAGACCAGAGGGGCGTGAAGGGGGGTTGGGGGGAACATGAGAGGATTCACCAGAGACACAGCGGGGGTAGAACAGATGGATCTATTGAAATACACCACCCAGGGGAACAGCAGGAAGACAGCAGAGATCTGCTGCACCATGTGGGTCACCTCCCTGTCAGGGATCAGACTAGTGCTGCAGTGGCTGTGGATAGCTTCATAGTGCTGAGACTTTAACCCCTGCACCACCAGGGAGGCCTATAATGAGTGTTTGATGCTGCTAGCCTTATCTCCCTTCCTCCCATAGGAGCCAGTAACTCTGTCATGTTTTTCCTCTTTGGTGTGTGCCCGGCAAGTAAATGGGGGTAGGGGGTGCTTAAATGTTTAAGAAAATATTTTGTAATCTTAATGTAAAGTCACATATCAGTGGCTACAGTTGTGAGCATTCATTTTCACAAAAACCATCTTTAAAACATCTTTTATTTGAATGTTCCCAAACAGTCGAAACAATTGAATCACGTAAAAACCTGCCTGTGAAACAGGAAAGTGAACTAAGTCATTTGTTAGCATTGGGAGAGTTCTTATTTTTCTCTCCCTGCGATAATTCTTATCTCTTTCTAACCACGTTTTTTTTTCCAGGCACTGAGAAGGAGGGGGAGGATAGGGTTCATCTGGGCACTTGGCAGATAAGACGCTGATTTGCATCCTTAAAAGGAAAAAAGCGTATTTCAGATTTTAAAGCTTTAAAGTAGGGCTTTAAGCTTTAAAGTAGGGCTTATAGGTTTTTTTCCACTTGGACGAGATCCCATCAGACCTACTCCATTTACACAGGACAAGTTGTGTCACCAACAAGACAGGTTACAGGACGGGAATGGGTGCACCTATTGTGATGAATACGGTACTTGCAGAAGCTAGGGCAAGGATCTGGGTGTGGGTTAGGCGCAGGAATACGGTACCCGCTGGAGCCTGGGAGCTTTCGGTGGTGCTAGTGACCTGGATTTTCCTCAAATGGTATTTTCTAGGCCAGGCCTTTCCTGAGACTCTTCTTCTTTTTAACATAGTAAAGCACACAAATCTTAAATGTAGAGATTACTGGATTTATCATATGTATGACACCATTTAACCACCTCGCCTGTCAAGATACAGATTATTTCTCATTACTTAAAAAGTTATCTCATGCAACCTCCTTTCAATTTCAACAGGAGGGTCATCTCTAAATTGGCCTGAGGAAGGAAGGAAAAGAGGGAGGGAAGGAGGGAGGAACCTACTGATGGATTAATGGGATGGAATGATGCCCGTCAGCCCCGAGGTGTCCTGGATAAAATCTCTGCCTGACAATGAAGGAGAGCACAGAGCAGGCAGTGATGGGTAATAAGTCAGGAATAAGGCCTGACACTCCTTGTCCACAGAAAAGCGACAAGGACCTGAATAAACGGTGTCCCCACATCTTCTCCAGCCCCTCCCCCCATACATTCATCTCACAGACTGGGAGCCTGTCCTTCCGCTGATTCTCACCCCACATACCACCCATATCCGGGCCCCTCCCACCAGACCGAGGTCCTGATCCAGGCCCCAGTGAAGGTGCTTCATACTCTTTGTGGACTGACTGCAACCTTCAAGCCCCAAGACCCCAGAAGCCCTTCTGGCTGAAATAGAGAGCCGTCTCCTGGACCTGCTCCCGCCCACTCAGAGAGCAGCTTTCATCCTCCTGCTTTGATGCGTCCCTTTGAGGAGTCCAACTTTGGGGTGTTCAGAGGCTGGGAGTGTAAGGTGGTAGGGGAAGGCATCTCCTGGGCTAGCTGGTTCCGGACGCGGGCTCTTGGCGCCCCCTGGCGGTGAGTGTCTCTCCTACATCTCTAAATACTTCCCCTTGAACTCCGGAGATCCTGATTTGGAGCATCCATCGACCCGGACCACAAAGAGAAGGAAGTTCGTGTTCACGCAGGATCACTGCGGCGCCACGAGCCGCTCCTGGCACAGTCACCAGGAGAATCCTGACCTTATCCAAGCAGCTCTCAGCACTCCATTCCTGGACAGACTTCCCGGCCAATCTCCTAGGGGGAATTCCAGCCCGTGGGGAGGTGGTGGTGGGGGGGGGTGGTGTGTGTGTGTCTAAATCGTTAGTCCTCTGCCCTGGGACACCCCCTCCCCGACCTGTTCTACCAAGTAACCTTTCCTGGCCCCCCACACCCATCCTCCCTCCACCACCCCTTCTTTTGTCCACATTCATCCTAGACATCCTTGTTTATTCCTATGCCAATTGGTTCCAACACCACCCACACTCTCAGCCAGAGTGCATCTTCTGCAAAATTACAACTAACCAGCCTATCTAAGGCAGTTTAAATTTAATTTCACCAAAGTTCCCATCCAAAATGCTTCCCCGCAAACCTGAGTTGACCACATTAGAGTTCTGTTTTTAACTCCCTCCATCAACATCTTCATTCTCTGCTTCCACCATCATCTCCCTACCAGCCAGGGAGGTATTAGAGCTTTACTTTCTAGAATTTATGTTCCCGAAACCATTTGTGCCTGATCACAGTTTAGGGCACCTCCATTCGTAAGATGTGCTACCCAGAATATCCTTGGAAGTGTCCTGGCCCACCTCCTGCCCTCTCATACCATGCAGGCTGTGTGCTCCACTTCCTGAGTTCTCCACTTCATCTCTTACCCACTACAATCTGCCCCCACCTGCACCAGACACTGTCTTTATGTGGCCCACACAACTGGTCCTCCCCTCCCACACTCTCCTCTTGGTTCCGTCAACTGGCACCCAGGTCTCTTCCTCTCCCTGAGAGTCCCTACCCCAGGGCCTTTGCACTGGCTCTTCTGCCTGGAACTTTTCCCCATGCCACGTATCTACCTTCCTGGTTTTATTCCATTATTTGCTTAAATGTCAACTACTTAAAGGGAACTCAGTATTTTATCTGAGTTGCTGGATGGCTGGATAAGTGGGGTAGGGACAGATAGAAGAGCTATTTAGAAAGGAGAGTGGCCATAACCTAGGTTGGGAGTTCAAAGCTGGACAAGTCATTCCCCTTAGTGCTTCAGGTTCCTCAGCTATAAAAAAGGGGTCACAGAGGGGGCTCCCTGGTGTGCAAGTCGAAGCACTATGCAGCAATCCTCAGCCACCGCAACAGGAGTTTGATCACCTGCCAGGGAGTTGGCCCACACGGCACAGCAGACCTCTACTGACCCACCCGCTGCTCCCCTCAGCAGTGTATTTCAGATCTCCACTCAGTCACTGGTGAATCCTCTCACCACACCTGCATCTCTGGCCTATCCCCCAGTTCTGTATGCGTAAATAAAAAATAAATCTTTAAAAAAACAAATAAATAGTACCAAGAAGGAAAAGTCACCCCCTTAAGTCCCCACATATCCCAAAGACAATGGGCACAGGGATTATTTGACAGACCCCAGTGTGGACGGCAGCAGATCCTGTTTGGTATTTTTTCCACAAAGCCTCAGAACATAAAACACATCCCGGTTATTGCCTGTGCTTCCGATCCTGGTAGTGGGAGCAAGGCCTCCCTCCCGCAAGGGGCTGGGCGCCTGCGGCCATTACCACATTTCCTCCCATTCTACCCAGCCTCCTAGGGACCTGCCTTTGCATTATGTTCTTCCTCAAATTTCTGGCCATTTCCTTAGGGCCACATTCCCAAGAGTGCAATCAGTGGGTCAGGAGGTAAGAGCATTTGTGAGGAGTCTTTGGCACCAAGTGCAAGTTTCCACGCTTTTTTTTTCTGTAACCATTTTTGTTTTCCTAACATTGTTCAAATAGCTGAGACTCCTCTGGGGCTCATGGGGTGCCTGTCCTGTTCCAAGCCCTTTCATGTGCAGATTCACTTAATTCTGGGGTAACCCACAGTGAAGTTGTCACTATCACTGGGTCCTGTTTGCAGATGAGGACCTGGTGGCACAGAAATGTTGAGTAACCTTCACCAGGTCACACAGCCATAGGAACAGCTGGGACTTCCAGTCAGGGTAGTGGCCCCCAAGGACATGTTCTGGACCACATTTCCAGGCTGCTGCCTGCGGACAGCCTTCATCCTTTTTAACAGCTGAGCCATGCCCGTTCTGTAGAATAAGCATCTTATTACCCAGCTGATGTAGCAGATCAAGAAAGTCCCACTTTTTGATCTTTGGGAATTGTCTCCCACCATTCATTCAGCCAGGACTATTTAGAAAGTTGTAGTCAGTGGAACAATAATTCTTGTTCACTGTGAAGGATCCTGGATCCAGCTGTCATACTAAGCCGCCGTCATGTTTGAGTTGCAGAAAGGAGTTGGAGACTTCGACCTAAGTAGGCATATGCCCCCACCTACAGGAGCACTTTTAGGGTAAATAATCTTTGGTCCTTCCATCAGATCGAGGGGTAAATTTGAAGTGTGCTTCACCTTTATCGATGGACTCAGATTTGTTTGAAAATAGCCAACCTGCTTGGGGGCCCTCCCTGGTGGTGAAAGGGTTAGCAGCACTGATCCCAGCCAGGGAGTGACCCACATGGTGCAGCAGACCGCTCCTGTCCCACTTGCCGCTCCCCTCAGCAGTGTCAGTCTGCCTCTTCTGCTCCCCACTGCCTCTGGTGAATTGTCCTCCTCTCCACCCCCCCACACCTCTAGCCTGTACCCCAGTTCTTTATGCATAAATACGTATTTTGAAAAAAGTAGCCAATTTCCTTTAGTTAACAAACAAAAAAAAAAAAGCTGGAAAATAACTAAGGTTTCTTTCAAGAAAATAATTACGTGTTCTCCACGTGCATTTAACTTACCCATACAAAACAAGGCCCAAAACTCCCAGGACAGGGACCGGTCTCCTGGGTCAGGTCCTCAGTTTGGCCCCAAATAGCCACTTTAGTAGTAAATTTCTTTTACTGAAGTTTGACTTGACAGAGGTGATCATTTGAACTGACAGTGGGTAGTGCCCCCATTGTTTTTTATCTCATGATTTTTCTAATCCTAAAGGCTTCAGGTTGCAACTTGGAGGACTCCAGGAAAAATGTTACAAATTAAAATGGTAAAGGGCCTTGTAACTAACTTTCAGCCCCTCAGCATCACACAGCCTGGAAGGGATCTTCCAAATGGTCCAGTTTCATATATCCATACCAGGGTCCACCCTTCCCTGCACAGAACATGGTGGTGCCCCCAATGGTGTGGGCACTGAGAACCACTTGGGCTTACGTGTTAACAAGTTCTGCCCTTTGAATGTAAAATTCAGATGTGAAATGTCATTGATCTGCAATGTGTCCTTGTAGTAGACTGTTTTTCACGCATATGGGAACAGACGCATTTCCCCAGGCAATGAAACAGTGAGAACTTCCTGAGGACGCTGCTAACTGTCCATGCTGCAGAATTTACCTCTAAGTTAAGTTAATGCCTCCACCCCAGGGATCCACATATTTGATGGATGCCCTAATGGCCATCTTGGGGCATTGTTTCCTGCCCTCTCCCAGCAGGTTCTAGACTCTGTCCCTAGCTGGGCTCACTGGGTCATAAGTCGCCGCTCAAGGTCCTTAGCAGAGGGGCTGGCATTTTCACGCTACCTCTCATCCCCTGGCCCTCCACCCAGATACACATAAAGCGGATCCCTTATCTGTACAGCATCTCATTTTACGTTGGGACAGAGTGTCAGCAGGAACAGTTCCTTAAAGTCATGTTTTATGGGTTGTAAGGCCACGGGGGAAACTCTGACGTTCTCTCCTCTCATCCATTTCATTCACTTGTTCTATTTTTATAAATACCTTGTCCTGGAGAAACCTTGCCACAGGAATAAAAAATGGAGAAAGACTAACAAACTAAAAACATGGAAAGCTTTACCTCAAATTGATGCCATATACAAAAGTCAACAAAATAACCAGGAATTAACGTTTGCAACGTGTATGACAGAACAGAAGGCAAACCCAAGGGCAGTGGTCCTGACTTCCTGGTCTCTTCATGCACTATCATCCTTTATTACTTATAGATCAAATCACTTGTGGATTTAAGTCCTTTGAAACAGCGATGTACACGAGCGTGGAGGGACTAACCTCTTTTGACATGTCTGTCTTCTCACCTTTAAATTGGGGACCCGTTGAGCCTCCCAACGGATGTTCAGTAAACATGAGCTGCTTCTCCTGCCCTTGTGCTAAAAGCTGTAAGGAAAACCTACATCATGTGGGCCAAGGAGAAGGGTTTTTCCCCCTCAGAAACCCAGATGTGATATGACTTTGACTCCTAGAATCTGCATCCTGATGTGTAAGAGGAAGACAGCCAGAGAGGAGGTGCCGGAGGAGGAAGGGAAGTCACACAGGAGGCCCAAGGTGTTGATCAGAAGGTGCTTTATTGAAGGGTAGAGGCTCCAGCAGCTATAACCTGGGGACAGAGAAGAGGGGGCTGGGCTGAGGGAGGGACAGGAGAGGGGCACCTGCATCTTCCCCCACCTCCTCCCCAGCCAGTTATGAGGCTGGGACAGGGCCCTGGCAGTGGTAAGGAGGCACTGCTGGTCAGGGCCTAGTTCAGGCCAGCCTGGCAAGGAGTGGGGCACTCACTGGATCTCGCGGTATGCCCGCTTCTCCACCAGCTTCACCTTGTACTTGCGCTTGAACCTAGAGAAAGGAATCGGGGTCAGTGAACCTCTAGCCCTCGGGCCAGGGTGGTGCCATGCCCAAACCAACATAGCAGCCCTGTCCCACTCACTTGGCTCGCTCCCGAGGTTCGATCATGTTTCTCCTCTGGAAGCTCTTGAACCGGTCTCGGAGGATGTTGCCTTCTGGCTGCAGACAGAGAGGGGAATGTTCAGTGGGACCAGACCCGACCCCTCCCTAGTGGTCTAGTCATCAGCCAAAGCCTCTCACTCCAGGGAGGTAATCCTGGCTCTGAGCTGGGGCCAGAGGGCTGTGAGGACACTGACCCCCGGGGCTACCTATAAGAGGGCTGTGAGGACACTGACCCCTGGGGCTACCTATAAGAAACAACAGGAAGCAGAGCTGGCAGGACCCTCTATGGCTAAGTCAAGAGCATGTGCCACTTTCACTTTCAAGTAGAGTAGGAGGTATAAAGGGCAGGCCAGAGGGAAACATGCAGGTGGGCCCAAACTGCCTGTGGCCCTGGTGAGGGGTGTGGCACCTTCCCCAATCACTGGGGAGCCATGGCTGGTTCTGAGTGGATGGGAGACAAGATTTTGAGCTGTGGCTAATCTCTCTGCAACTGAAGAGGCTGGGGCTGAGAGGCCCTGGTTGAAGGAAGGCTCCTTGAAGGTCACAGGCTCAAACCGCCACCCCTTCATCATCCCTGGCACCCCCAGCTTGGAACCCTGTGCCCTCAGCCCCCAGGCATCAGCCCACTGGCTCAGCCTGGGGGCAGCCATGATGTCGCCCACAGCCCCTGTGGGGCACGGGGAGCAAGGATGGGTATCATCACTGGGCACAGGGATGTCCCCAACAGCCCCCCATCACCTCAGAGAGGCAAGTACCTTAAGGGTCCTGAGTGAGCCAGACAGCTCTGAACTGAGCTGCACGTCGATGTCGGGGGCCTGGTACCTGGCAAACAAGGGAAGGCATTCAGGGGTCAGGGGGTCCAGGAGCCTGGAGGCCAAAGGCCCCTCTTGGCTCTCTAGAGCAGCATGGGATGGGCAGCGGGGCTTCAGGCACAGGGGGGCGTGGAAGGAAATGATGGTGTCCCAGGAGGGGGGGCTCAGCCTGAGCAAAGGCGGGCAGAGCTAGAGCCCATGCAGCCTTCCTGGGTCCCCCTTCTGGGCCTCACTTGAGTCGCCCCAGTCGGCGGGGCTTGTCATCCTCCAGCAGGCGCCGTGCCCGCCGCTGCTCCCGCCGCCGAGCCACCTCTGCCAGCCAGCGCGCCACCTGGGCCTTGATCCCGCGCAGCCTGAAGAGCTCCTGCTGCCGGAGCCGGGCGGCCCGCACCGCAGCCTGCTGCATCCGCTGTGGGGACAGGGCATCAGGGCCAGGGCTCCTTCCCCAGGAGGACGTCTCCTCACATAGGGTCCCCCAAGACCCCAGTAATGACAGAGCAGCTGCTCGACTTTTTCACAGCATTTCTCAAACAACTTGTATTTTTGTGCCCACAGTCCAAATCCGCCTTCGAAAATAAGTACCAGGCCTGTGTGGCCCGGTGAGTCCCCTGCTGTATTCCCAGAGCCCAGAGGACGCCTGGGGGGCACTGAGAAACGGGCTCCAGCTGGCAAGGCAGCTGTGAGTATGGGAAGCCAGAAAAAAGCCAGGAGAAAAAGTGAAGAACCAGAAAGCGGAGAGAAGCCAGGAGAAAGGCGCTGTCGAAGCAGGGACAGCTTCGACCCACGGCGCTCACCAGGGTCCGGGCGGCCTTCTCCCGGCGCCGCTGCTGCTCAGTCTTCTTCTCAGTCTTCCTCTCGGCAGGTGCCGGGCAGGTGGGGACAGGTGAAGCCTCTGTGCCTTCAGCCCCGGGCCCCTCATCCTGGCCCCTGCCTGGCTCCTCCTCTCCATCGGACTCCTCCAGCAGCCCCTGGCACAGCTCCTGGAAGGCAGACTCCTGGAAGGAGGGAGAGGGGCGAGTCAGGGGCCCGGAGCGGCAAGCTAGGTGGGGCGGGGTAGGCCGAGGGGGCTCACCTGCGTGGCGGCCTGCTCCGCAGTGGGCAGTGCCAGCTGCCGCTCCAGCTTTTCCGCCTCCTTCTGCCGCTGCAGCTCCACTTCATGGGCCACCAGGAGCAGGGTCTAGAGGAGTGGGGGGCTGGTGAGGGCCCCGCTCCTCTGACCCTCCTGCCCCCGCTCAGCACCACCTCGCACACCTTCCCTCAGCGAGCAGAGGAAAGCTGCCCCCGCCCCCAGCTGTCCCGTCCGCTCGGCATCACTCAGGACAGCCTGTTCCCCACGCACTGCTGGGGTTCATCTCTATGAAGCCCCCAAAAGAGACAAACCCAAAGAAACAGGGGCCAAAGATAGCAGCCTAAGAGTAGGGGAGGCAGGAATTGGGGGTGATGGCTGATAGGAATGAGATTTTTCTTGGGGGCAATGAAAAGCTGTAAACTTAAGGAGGAACAGGGTGCACGCCAACTGTGCTGGACCCCCGCTGAACTGAGGCCTGGACGGGAGGGGACTGCAGCCCTGTAAGGAAACTTATGTTTGCAAAAAAGTTCTGTGGCCTCTTTTCCGCCTGCAGCCACACAGTTCACGTCGAATGACCGGGGCAGGCTGCAGTTCACGTCCTGAGCTGAGGCCAGAGGTAGTGTAAGAGGTTTCCGGGGTCACATGCGCAAGGTGGTTTTCCCTGGACACCTGCTGTCGGTGAGGAGCACTGCCCGCCCTGCCAGGCTGAGGCTGCGGTCTCAGAGACGGGACCTCGCAGCGTCAGGGAACCTCAGCTTCTCTCTGGGAACCTGTGTCTTATCCTCCGCACATCACCAGTGCTTGGCTATGAAATGAATAGTGACTCAGCCCGCAGCTCCCACCTCAGGACTTTCTTCACCCCTGGGGGCAGCTCATCTGCTCATAGGGTTCCTCTGATAACAGTGGTTAGAGCCTTCATACATCTATGACCTAGGGATTTCCCAGACGCCACCTCAGTCTCACTCAGCCCTAGGCTTTGCACAAGCTGTCCCGTTCCCTTTTCTCATAGCAAATGCCTCAGCCATCAGTCTCGGTGCTGATGGCCCCTCCCCCGGGCAGCCCTCCCCAGTGTGCAAGGCTGAGTGAGTCAACCTTCCTGGTTCTCCTTCCCAGGCCTGCCCACTCTGGACCGTGACTGCCAGGGAAGGCCTGTCTCCCAACTGGATCACGAGCCCCAGGAAGGCACAGAGAAGTGCTGGGAAGGGCTTACCTGATGGTCCTCAAAGGAAGGGTTGTATGAGGCTCCGGCAGGTGTCACCTCTACAGCAGGCGCCTGGGAAGGCTTGGCGTGGAGATGTGGTGGCCGCTGGAGGACAGACCGTGGGAGATAAGGCCTAGGGCCCATGACGCAACTTCCCAAAAGCTTGCTGACTCTCCTCGAGTCTGCCACCGCCAGCAGAAACCTAAAGATTACCCTGGACACCCCCTACCTGTCCCAGCACTTCCGCCCTGGGATTTTGCTTTGGACTGTCCTTCCTCCCATTCCACACTCACTTGAGCTCTGCCCTCTCATCCTTGGGATCCTGGGGCCCAAGGCACTCGTGTCTGCTCCTTCACCATCCCATCTCCCCATCACCTGGACCTCATCACTCTCCTTGAGAAACCCCTTAGACTGAAACTCAGATCTAGTGTTGTGTTCCCACCCCCATCCACCCAGGCCTCCTCTGCTCCAGAACTCACAGCCCTCCCATTCCTGGGGCTCTCCCGCCTCTATGCTCCCCTCAGGGAGGCTTCCTGGCAACCCAGTTCAGCCCTGCGCTCACCCTTCACAGCACCAACCACGGCTCAGCTCAACGGGCCTATGCTGACATGCTTATCTACTTGTGGGTCTGGACGGGAGCCCCATGGGGCGAGAAACCCCTGACAGCCCCACTTGCTCCGTGTCAGTGTGTCAGTCGCTCAGTGCCTAGCAGGGCACAGCGACTTGTTATTGGTTAAATGCATGAAGCTGGATCTCAGAGATTCAGGTCAAGGGAAAGAGGCTACAAACTGAACACTGAAGCTGACAAGGTTCCTATCAAGGAATGGGGGGAATGGGGAGAACTAGGACCCAAGTGCAGTCATCACCAAGGAATGGACAGAGTTGCCTTCCCACCATCAGCTGTCCTGTGCCAGGACAGGAACCCAGGTAACTACCTCTGGAGACGAGGCTCGATGGCCCTCGACCAGGTGGGCCTACTGGCCCCGGCCCCTTCAGACCCCCCTCCTCCAGGGTGCCCTCTGGGCTTGTCCTCACCTTCACTGCTTTCTTCTTGGTCTGCTCCAGGAAAAAAGTGTCCTGGCCAGCCAGCGGTTGGTCCAGAGGATCTGGGAAGGCAGTGAGGAACAGCTGGGGCTTTCCGGCACAGGAAGATACCAGGCCCTAAAAAGCTCCCTGCTTTCATAAGATGGCAGTGAAACACCAGCAAGGGACGAATGCTCAGACTATCTGGGTAGAGCCCAGAATGCAAAGACCCCTAGGCTAAGGGGCAGGAGTGGTCCTCAGGAAAGTCCACTCAGAAATGGAGAGCAGAGCATGAAGAAAAGCCACTGTAAGCCAAGTGACTGCATGAAAGCCACCTCACGGGGCACCCCTTGGGCACAGTGATTTTGTGCACAATCCGCACAAGTGTATATGGCACCCTTGCCCCCGCCCCCAACGGACAGCAGGCACTCACTGTCTTTGGCCCAGATGTCATAGAAGGGTCGCTCGACGGTGTCCTGCGGCCCAGGCTTGGCTTTGGCCACCGGAGGGTTGAGGAGCCGGGCCTGGGCCCTGCGCACATCCCGGGGTAGCACGCCCTGCTCAGCCAGTTTCTCCCATAGCTGTTCCTTCCGTTTGAGCTTCTTGGCATTGGGGACCTGGTGTGCAAGGATGCTGGGTTGGGGGGAAGCCGACAGGTGCAGTGGTGAGGCCTGAGAAGCCGCCCGGTGACTCCTCTGCTGGACCCCAGCACTCTGCAACTCCTATTGCTCCTCCTCCGGCCAGTGGCTTCAGAGACCTCTCCAGTCCTGTCTCTGCCTCCCTCCTGAGCCCCAGACCCTAAGCACAACAGCCCTGGGGCCCATGCTCTGAATGTCCTCCAGGGACCTCACACACATCAGAATCAACAGTGCCTGTAAGTCCCGAGACACTCCGCTGCCTATATCCTCATCTCAGGGACACCCTGCTGTCTACCCATCCTTCGCTCCTCTCCACCCCTCCTCAGAGATCAGTAAGCCCTGCCTGATCCCCCTCCAGACTGGGACCCCCATCACTTATCCCCTCCTCTCCCGAGCCCCATTCTACCCACCAGCCCCCTACCCGCTGCCCCCAACCTGCTTTCCCAAACTGACCCCATCCAAGTGACCCTCCCTCCCTAGGAATGAATTCCTTTTGGCCAGGCAGTGGGTGGGGCTGCTACAAAAGAGAAACAGAGTGGAAAGAAGAGGCAGGGATGTTGGGACACTCACTCTTTGGGGGCAGGGACTTTGGATGTGTTCTCGAGGATGAGGTCAACTCGAAGGGGTTTCTTGAGAAGAAGTGACCTCTTCTGGCCTTTGGTCCCCTTCTTACTTGGCTCTGGAGGTGGAAGAAAGAAAAGGGGTTAAAGCCTCAGTCCCCGACCCACACTTACCCTCCAGAGGAGCCTGCAGGGGCCCTGCCCACAGGGGGCTTCCAGACACAACAGGACAATGACCCCAGAACTAGTAACACTAAAGGGGAAGACAGCAGGTGGTCAGACAAGCAGGCCTGGGGAAGCCCAGAGCTGGACTAGTTCAGCTAGTCTCAGCCTCGCAGTTTAAAGCAAGACACCCAGGGCGAAACTTAGGACAGGATCAATAGCCCGCCATGTGCAGTCATCTTACAGGAGTGACTTTGCTCCACCATGCTTCCAATGGGGGGGTGGTTACTGCCCACCTTCCAGGTGGTGGGGTGATGTCATGGTTTTAAGAACCCAAAATACAGTAACACGATCTCTAATTTTTCTTCTTACTTAAAGCTCAAGTAGAATCTATAGGCTGCCCCAAGAGATTTCCTATTGGCTAACGCAGGCCTTAACCATCTCCTCACTACTTACAAGGCAGGGTCCCAGCTTTATATTCACAAGTATTTCAGATTTAATCATCTGTGTGAGAGCCATCCTCTTATTAAGCAGCCTGTCCTCTAAGGACCTGCTCACCCACAGTCTCCTGTGCCTCAAAGCAGGTGCCTTCTTGCTCACTGAAAAACAGAGCCTCTCATTTTCATTAGAACAGACCCCTTGGCTGATCTCAGACAACCTAAGTATATCCTGCTGATAAGAAGCTTACCATTTTACTCCTTAGAGTAATGAGCAGTTTTTCCATTCAAGGCAGCCCCTTTGTTTTCTATACTTGTTAAAGGAGAGAGCTTCTTAAGTCTGTCATCTATATACTGACGTCCACCCTTTCACTCACTGAAAAAAATCCCTCACTCCTTTGCTTCAGCGGCTCCAGATCCTGCAAGGATATCACTAAATAAAAGCAACAGCAGGTTAAGACTAGCTTCCTCAAAGTGCACCTTCTACCTCTTAAGGTACAATTTATTAACTAAAACAGGTGTCAACTTGCTTCCCTCCACAGTGACAGGGAAAGCCTCCTAATTTATGACCAATCTCATCAAGGCAGACCCCTACTTGGCTTCTCTGTGCTAAGATGTCTACTCCCTCAAAAAGAAAATCTGAATTCTCTAAGTTAAGGTCTAGCTCTCTGTTCATCCCAGATGCTCTTGTTTCTATTAAAGATCCTTTAACAGATGTTTATACAGGTCCTACGGGAGGCCCCAAGTAGGCCACCATAGCCACGCACCTCCACCAAAGCCTTTCCTCACCTTTTTTCTTGGGGCCTGTGTCCACGAAGAAGAGTTTTTCATCGGGAGCCTCTGACACCAAGCCACTACGAGATGGGAATGCAGCATGTCAACAATGTTGCAGAACGAATAGGTTTAACCTCTCTGGGCCCCAGATCATTCGTTTGCCCAAAACTGACATTTAATGTACGTTTACTTGCTAAACCTGATAAACCCCCCAAGTCCCCCTAGGTTCCCACCCACCGGCCCCAGGAACTCCCCCTAGCCACGCTCAGCCTCGCACCCAGCCACACAGAAAGGGGTCCCCGGAAGTCCCGCCCACGAACCCGCTCGTGCGCTCCTGCAGCCGTACATCTTCCAGGTATTGGTCGACCTCCAGCCCCAGCGGCTCCTGAGCGAGCCGCCGCCAGCCCCGCTTCTTATTTCTTGGGCCTTGCCGCCGCCGCCTCAGCCCCGGGTCCACCGAAGTGGGCCGCAGCCCCAGAAAGCCGGAGTCGGCCCCGCTTTTTGAGGCACGCCTGCTGCCACTACCACCACTACCCGCCGCCATCTTGCCAAAGGAAGTGTAAGGCTTTGTGTAAGCCTAAAGCCCGTTTCGGACATGCGCGCGCAGCTCCCCCGCCCTCTCCCTTGACCTATTTCCGGTGGGCGCCATCTTGGTAAAGTGCTTGGTGGAGCAAAGGGGCGGGTGACTGCCATCTTGACTAAGAGTGAAAGGCTCCTCCCTGATGTTCAGATTCCTGGCGGCTTTGGGTGGTAGCTTATCGGCTGTAGCCTTAGGCAAACTATCTTTTCCGGCCTCCAATAATATTTTTATTTAATATAAAACAAATAAGTGGTTTCTCTTATTATTCGCTGAATATTATTTTTACCATTTTTTAAAAAAAGTCAGCTGTCACTGGCGGATTTCGCACAAGACATGCTCCCATCTCAGATTAGTCCAATCTTGTTACCTTGGAGATCAAAAAGCTTTCGGATGTGGAGGTTGCAAGTACAAAAACGCGATAAAAAGAAACACTGTTAGAATGCAAGTTCCAGATTCAGAATCGTTCATTTGGCCAAGCTATGTGGCTGTGCCTCAGTTTCCACATCTTAAAATGAGGATGAGGATAACGGTAGAGTCGGTTCACAGGTTATTCTGGCGATTGGATGAGGTAGTGATTTTCTGTAAAGCGCCTAAGATTGTGCACAACATCAAAACGTTAGCTCGCGCCGGAGCTGGTCTTTGTTACTGAGGAATAAGGAAGGCACCTGACCTGCCTTTGTGCGTGGCCAGGGCCTCATACAGGCTGTTATCCACTGAGAAGGGCAAAGCAAGCCCCGAGAGGGAAGGCGCCACGCGGAGCTCAGCGGCTCTTGGTGCAGAGGGCAAATGACCAGCTCTGGAGACCTGAGCAGGGACTCTTGGGACTGGGTATTCGGCGCTGGCCAGCGAGGCTCCTAGTGTCCGCCAGGGGGAGTCGCGAGCCGCGAGCCCCGGGGCGCGTGGGCGTGCGTGCACGCGGCCAGCTTGCCCCCCAAATTGTTCTGGGTGCCGCGGGTGTGGTCCCGGGTGTGCGTCCGCGCGAAAGCGCGCGGGCTTTGCCACAGAGCAGAGGCCGAGTCCCCTGGACATGAGCCTGCAGTCTTCGTTGGCAGCGGCCCCTCTCCCCTCAAGGAGCCCCATGGTCGGTTGGGCTAGCTGTCAAGTGTTTCATGCCTAGGTGTTGGGGGTGCACACTGGGGTGCGCGAGCACAAACACACTCAACAGGGCTTGGTTCCCAGGCTACCCCCCAACCCCCACAGGAGGGAGGGAGGGATGTCCCAGGAGGAGGGCCCCAGGGTAACTTTTCTTCGGAAAATATGTTGGTCTGGCCCCCAGCCCAGGACTGAGTCATCAAGCTCCGGTGCTTTGAGTCATGGCCTCCACCACCGCCCTTGAGAGCTTGGAGGGGACCCCCCCACCTCTAGGCCTGCCCGGGGCTCCCCTTCCCTTGGGGGTGGGGAGGAAGTACGAGTCCCCACCCCACCCCCCAACACACACCCCATTCCAAGACAGCCTGACTCCTACATGGAAATAAGCCATGACTTTATTTGCTCTTATGTTCACAGACCCTTCCCGGTCAAGGGGTGGGGGTGATGGTGGGCGTGGGACTCTCAGCGGGCATCCTACAGGAGGGGCATCATCCCCACCTATTTCACTCTTACCCATTTTTTCCATGAGCCCCCCACCAAGGTTAAGCACTAATATAAGGTGAAGGCAGGAAAGTGTGTGTAGAAGTGAGCAGTCTCTTTAGGGGAGGGGGAAGGGTTGTAGCACCGAGGACCCTCCCCCGACAAAATCCCTGTAAAGGGAACCAGTAAGGCCCTGGGGCCTTTCTATCTTAGAGGGGGGCACTTAAGTGTGGCCCGATGGTGGGCAGAGAGGCAGTGTCCTAGCAGTCTAAAACAGATCACCAGACGGAGAGGGATGGTGAGGCAGGGCTTTCAATCCCTTGCAGGTGGGGGAGAACCGAATACCTGAAAGTGGCTACAAGTCTGTAGGAGCAAAGATGAAAGGGGCATTTAAAGAAAGGGTTGCAATCAGAACAAGGGGCTGAAGAGAGGTCCCCCTGAGGAAATAGGCAGTTTTGTCTATCCTTTGATCCCCACTCATGGTCCCAAGGCCTGAGGATATGATGGGGTGGGGGCTCCTTGCTGGCTGGGCAACAGGAAGGGGGGTAAAGGGGCCAGGGTGGTCTGCTAGTCATTTCAACTAGGTGGCCTCTCCCTGGTGCAGAGAGGCAAGGGGTCCTGCCCAGATCAGGGATCAGACTGGGTACGCTTGTACACACGTCATGCATGTGTGTCCTAAGAAGGTCAGCTCCATGAGGACAGATATTTTGATCTGTTTTGCTGTCATCCCCAGGGGCTAAAAAGGGGCCCTGGACATAGTAGGTGCTCAATAAATACCGAATGAACCATGAACACATGGATAACCGTGTGTTAGTGCCAGTGTAGTGTGCCCAAGTGTAGGTGAGGGCAGAGGTGTAAAGGGCAGGCAGAGAAGCCTTAGCCTCTACTCTGCCACTCCCCCTTCGGTGGTGGCTGCGAGGGAGACCCCTGTCTTCACAGCTGGGCAGGGCAGGCAGGTAGGGTGTGTGCAGGCCAGATGGGGGTGTGTGTGCAGCTGACCAGAGCTGGGGAGCCACAGCAGGGCAAACAAAAGGGAGGGAGGGCTGGCAGGCAGCAGCTGGCTCACTCAGCAGATCCCTTATGACGTCGTTTGGAGGGTGGCACAAGACGGCGGGGCAGGTTGGTGGGCAGCCCATGGCCCTCAAGCTTGGCCTCAATGAGGTGGCTGGCCAGGGCAAACTCCTCGTCGTCCAGCATGCCATCCCGATCGACATCACTCAGCTTCCAGATGCGCCCCAGAACGGAGTTAGGCAGCTTGGTGCCCACCATCCAGGTCTTGGCCTTGGTGCCACTCAGCTTGCCGTCAGCGGGGGCCAGGTTGTAGAAGATCTCGTCGTACTTGGACTTGTCCTTGGTCACCACCCACTCAGCCTCTTCATCCGATCCCTCCGCGCCATCCTCCAAGACCTCGTCAGGCCCCCGCTCCACAAAAGGGCCCATGTGGGTACCCTCAAAAGCACCACCCTGCACGCCCACCTCGGTGCTCTCCAGCTCCTCCTGCCGCAGCAGGGGCATGAGCTTGGCGATGTCATGCGTCAGCATCTCGTCCAGCGTCTCCAGCAGCTTTGGCTTCAGTGAGTGAAACTTGGTGAAGTCATGTGCCATCAGCATCTCCTGTGGGGGAGCAGGCGGGTGGGAGGAGACAGGGGCACCAAAAAGTTAGGGGGTACCATCTGAGGCCCACTAGAACTACCAGAATGCTTAAATTGCAACCACTTACTGACAGGCCAGAGGCAGCTATCTCAGCACTATACCCTCCCACTTGGGTGCCCGTTCCTCAGAAGCCACTTGGATGACAGAGTCCCAGACACCCTCCTTCTGTGCTAGTCCCACCCCCACCCCCCCGATTCTCTGGACCACAGGGGCCTCTTCAAAGTTCCCTGCACTGGGAGGGTCATATTTTCCAAGCGTGGCCACACTAATTTCTTGAGCAAGACCGAGAGGCCCAAGGATTACGGATGTGATGGTGACAGGGAGGGACAACACCTGGGCTAGGCCACCCATGTGTCAGCCCAGTACTGTCACTTGCCGTCACCCCTCCCACCTGCATCTTCTGGCAGTCAGGGAAGTCCCCAGGAGATATGTGATGTTCCAGTTGGATCTTGGCAAAGATGACAGGCAACTTGAGGATCAGCTGCTTCTTCTTGTTCTCCTTCCCAAACACAGAGGGCATCTCTTTCTTCAGGTAGCTGATGATGTAGGCATGAACCTGCAGGAGGAAAGGGAGGAGACTGCTCACCTGAGTCTGTTTACCATCACTGGGGAGGCCAGGTAAAGCACAAGTGCTTGGCCCCAGGCCCGGAGCTCCTGATCCACTTGACGGGGGCAGGGACCCCAAGACTTTGCATTGTTAACAGGTACAGGTGAGCTGCTGTTGCCGTTGATAGAAGAGTGCCACTCTGTGACATGCTCCACATTAGCACCAAGGGGCTCAGCCTGGGTTGAGGTCTTCAGCCCCTCCTAAACCACTCCCCAAGTTGTCCACACACCCCCCCCCCCCCCGCCCAGTTTCTGTACCTGTTAGGCCAGGGCCTCTCCCTGGAACTCAAAGAGCCTGGTCGACATTCCTAGACAGCTTTCTGGTAAAATGCTGTCAGTGGAATTTGGGCCCAGCCCCCTGGGCTGGGTCACCCTTAGCTGTGCCCATCTTGGGAAACAGCACCCCATCTTTCCCTCCTCAGCTGAGGCCAGAAATCTGGAAGTCATTCTGGGTGTGATTCTCCTCACCCTTCACAGCACTAGCCAGTTCTTCAGCAATTCTGTGACCCTTTGCTTCCTCACAGCTCCTGTTCCTCTCCATTTCTCTCTTCAGTTTCCACCCCCCCTCCCAACTGCCATCCCAGCCACCCTCATCTTTCACCTGAAGAGACACACCAGTCACCCCACTGGTCTCCTGGTGTCTCCTCTTGCCTCAATTAAGGCTTATCCATACAACAGCCATTAGAAGGTTTGGGGGTTTGTGTTTGTTTTTAGGACAAACACCAGACCCCAAGACACAATTCCAAAGTCTCAATTGGATTATTCAGGTTCAAAATTCATACCACCAGATCCTACAGCCACAATTCGCAGTGTGATCCAAGGAACCCCAGGGAGTTCCCAAAACCCTTTCAGGAATTTGAATGATCAAAACTATTTTAATAATATTAGGAATGAACTATTTGTCTTTTTTTACTCTCACTTCCTCCTGAATAGACTGGCAGGGTTCTCCGAGGCTACAAGATCTTAAAGGCTACAAAATGTGGGTGGCATTGCAGCTGGATGATAATGCAGGAACAGATGTACCGATTCAGATGTACCCCAGCAACAGACATGAAGGAGAGGGGCAAAAATACAAATGTAGGGCCACTGTCCTCTAATTATTTTGCAGGGGAGGCATTTGGAAAATGATTTTCATAAAACAGGATTTTTAGGTTTATGGGTATCTTAAATGATCCTCTACTACTAATTCTTTTTTAAAGATTTATTTATGAATACAAGAGCTAGGGTATTGACTGGAAGTGTGAGGGGTGAGAGGGTTCACCAGAGACAGAGTGGGGAGCAGAATAGGCAGTGGGTGAGGGTAGCAGTGGGTGAGACAGGAAAGGTCTGTGCCCTATGGGTCAGCTCCCTGGCTATAGTTTGATAGTGCTGAGACTTCAACTCCTCTAACACCAAGGACACCCTGGACTACTAACACTTATGACACTTACGCATGAGTGTAAATTAACATCAATAACTCACAGCATTTGTAATAAATATTCCTAATAACTCCTTAATGATGATGCAATCATTCATTGGTTCATTAATAGGAGATCTATAATATAAATATGAAACATTTTCTAGGTTTCATTTCCTAGTTATCTCCAAATAGTCAAGCCATCTACAGTCAGGTGTAGAGCAATAACCAGGATCTCTTTTGAGAAATGTTATCTTGCAAACATGGGGTATAATCACCAACTCTAGTTATAAAACTCTAGTTTTACACCCTAGGTAGATAAAGTCACCACTGTTGTTACGTGGTGCACAAATGTACATATAAACGCTTTTGGAGGTCCTCAGTAATTTTTAAGAGTGTAAAGAGGTCCTGAGACCCAAAGGTTTATGGACCTCACTGCTCTCCATGATTTGGCTCCTGCAGCTACACCCATCTCTGCTTCAGACCACCCACTGCTACAGCTTCCTTACCGTCTTTCTTTTTTACCAGCGTGCCAGCCATTTCCTACCTCAGGGCCTTTGCACGTGCCACTCTCTCTGCCTGGAATTCAGCCCTGGCTTCCCTTCAGCTGGTTTCCCCCACTTTCCCCAGAAGCTGTCCTATGGGACAACATTTATCGCAATCAATCATTATTTTCTTTACCTGTTAGTCTACTTATCCTGTCTCCTTCCATCAAAATGTGAGCTGCAGAGGCCTAGGATCTTACCTATTACCTGTGTTCTCTATGTCAGTACAGTATACACAGAAAGCACTCAAGAAATATTTGTGGAATAGGCCTGTGAGCTTGAGCCATGATCTCATAAGTATAAAAAAAATCCAGAATTATGCATTCATGTATGTTATATTTTAAAATAGGAAGCTCAATAATTATATGTATATGCTTAAGTAAAAATAGAATATATCTGGAGAAAAGTCCTAAGGGACTACTCAGGAGGCTCGCCTCCAGGGAACTGAGAGTTGGATCAGGGGTGGGAGGGAACATGTTTGGCAGAGTTTGAAAGCGTTACCATGACACTGCCTTACATGTTCAACTGAAAACATATTACCGTTTATTTAATGAATCATAGGTTGAGAATGTTAAAAATGTTGGTGGCCCCTGTCTGGTTCTGAATCCTCATTTCCTCCCACTCTGCCTCACTCTGTCTCCATCACCCACCCTGGGCTCCTCATTCATGTGTATTTCTGCCTCAGGGCCTTTACATGTGCTGTTGCCTCTGCCTGGTTTGATGTTCCTCAGATGACCATTCAGCTCACCCCTCCCTTCTCCCCTTCCCCAGAGTTCTCTGTTCAAATATAGCCCCCTCCAGGAAACACTCCCCGACATCCCTAGAATAGTCCCTCACCAGTTTCCCCTTTGCTTCATTTTGCTTCATAGTCCATATCACACACCATGTATTATTGATTCAATACGCAATATTGTTCAATAAACACTTCCCCATTGGAAAGTAATTTCAACAAAAAACTTGACCTGGCTTGGCCGCTTGCGGTACCTCCAGGGTCTAGCACAGTATGCAAACTGTTGTAGGTAACTGTCCCACAAATGTCGCTGAGCCACCTCAGGAAGTTCAGCATGAAGGCTCAGGGCATCTTGACCTCTTCAGAACCTGAAGCTCCCCCCAAATTTGGCGTCAAGTTATCAACTCTTTGGAACAGCTAAAACTTCCGCCAAAGGGCAGAGCCATGAGACTCATACATTCTATCTCACCCAGACAGGGAAACTGAGGCACAGAAAGGCCTTCGTACTGTTGGGAGAAAACATGAGGAGGTGTAAGGTGTGAGCTGTTCTCTGATGACGACATGTGACCAAGGGTTTAATGTGGAGGGTGAGGGAGTGTCACAGGGCAGGCAGGCTAGGAGCAGCAGGAGCAGGGGAAGAACCCCAAGGCACAGGCACTGGGGAGCCACGGATGGAGCAGCGGGAAGGGGAAGGAGTGGCTTGGAGGTCCAAGGGACCAATTGGATTAGGGGTGTGGTCAATCTAGTGGGAGGGTTCTGGGGCACAAGCCAATGGTATGAGGGGGCAGGGCCTATGGACCGCTGCTCTACGACCCTGAAAGGGGAGGCCATAGAGTTCTGATGGCTTTTCCAGAGAGGAAGCGGGGGAAGGTGCCAGGAAGAGATAAGGTGGGCGGGTGGGGTGAGCCGGCGCTCGGGTCCGGGCTCTGGGGCTTGTACGGGTTTCCGGAGTAGCCTCCTGCCTGGCGGGGGCACCAGGTGTCCAGCCGTCCCGCCCTTCGGCCCTGAGGCCGTGGGCTCCAGCCCCCCTCCCACCTCCTCTCAGAGAAGTCCCTGATGGGGGTACAAGGGCAAACCAGGGGGCAGCCGGGAAAGAGAGGGAGGGTGACAGAGCCAGAGGGAAGATGGGAAAGAGAGTGAATGAATGAGTGAATGAATGAGTGAATGAATGAATGGCAGAGAATTAGAGAAAGAATAAAACAGAGAAATAATATATATGTATGTATATACAGATATGGAGAGGAAGACAGGAAAGAGCCAGAGACAAAAACAGAAAGACAGTCCAGAGCCTGGGCAGAGGAGGAGAGAAAGGTGGATTCTCAGGGTTTGGAGCAGTCGCCCCAGTTCAAGCCAGGCAGCTCCCTCCCAAGGAGAATTCTTGGGGTGGGGGTGGGGGCTGTGACTCACCAGCTCTTGGCTGCTCCTTAAACCAACACCTCAGGCTCCTCCACCCCCCATAACCTTGCTGGCATCCCTGCCTGCCCAGCTTCCTGCCCCACCTCCATCCTGGCAGCCTCCCCTCAGAATGTTCCATTTGGCCTCCAGAATCACTCTTAGACCAGTGTCTCCTCCCTCTCCCCAAAGCCCAGTCCTCATCCAGGCTCCTCCCTGGTCTCTGGCCCAGTCTCACCACACTGGAATCCACCCTCCAGAAGGTAGCTGGAGTTTGCCCCTGTCCTTTCCCTGCTTTGAAGATTTCTGTGGCTCCTCAAGCAAAGCAAAGTTTGGGTTGCTGGCCACAGCCCCAAGGTCCCTGGAGGCTTGACTCCCACGCACCAGGTGAGCCTCAGATTTAGTTACTCCAATCCTGGGCCCAGCACCCACATCTTCCCTTTTCCAGCTGGCCATGTTCTCATCTCCAATCTACGCACGCCATGTTCTCATCTCCAATCTACGCACTGCGGGAGTCACTATCTAGACTCCCTGCCCCTCCTTGTTGGCCACATCCTACAGGTTGCATCTCAGCTGCCACCTCCTCCAAGAAGCTCTCCTCGATTGCCCCTCCAGTCCCTAGTCCCTGGCCTGACCATGCTGGGCTACTGCTGTCTGGGTGTGTCTTCCCTTTTGGGTGGCCTTGGGCACTGCTGTGTGCTCAGTGCCACCTGACACCAGGCCAGGCACAGAAAGGAGTTGATGAATGTGAGTGTTTGTTCGGTGTCATTTGCTCAATAAATATTTATTGAGCAGGCACTGGGGACACAGTAGCAAAAACATTCAAACAAAAATTCCCCATTCTGTGTCACTTAGTGCAAGTGGAGGAGACGCAGTACATACAGAAACCTAATGAAGGCACAGAGAACACAAGACTAGGTACTGATGAAAGCTTTGGTCTCCAGACAAGGGGTACAGCAGAACTCCCATGGGAGAGTATATTCATTCAAAAGAAGGGCAGAGAAGGGCCTCTGTGGTGGCATTGTCTCAGCACTATCAGGGAGTGACCCACATGGCACAGCAGACCTCTTCTGTCTCGCCCTGCTGCTCCCCTCAGCAGTGGATTTCAGTAGATTTGCCTGTTCTGCTCCCTACTTTGTCTCTGGTGAATCCTTTCACCCTACCCCCTGCACCCCAACTCTTATATGCATAAATAAATCTTAAAAAAAAAAAGGCAGAGAAGCCCTCCAGAGATCAGATATTTGAATAAAGACTTGGAGGTGAGGCGTGAGCCATGTGGATCGCAGGTGGAGGGCTGGAGAGGAGGGACGTTCCTACAGGTCGTGCAAAGGCCCTGTGGTAGGAGTGGGAAGGCCAATGTGATGAAAGTCAGTGACTAGTATGGAGGCAGATGGAGGAAAGGCGAGTGCTGGCCGGGGCTCACACCCCCACTTCTGCTCACCCACCCCTCCACCAGCGCCCCCACTCACCCGAACCAGCCTTGCCCTCTTCACCAGGTCATTCAGCTTGCGCAGGGCAGCATGGCGGGGCAAGCCCTGGATGTCGCGGAAGAGATCCTGTTCCTCAAGCTCAAAGAGGCGCCGGTTGTCTGGCACAAGGAGTGGCTGGGACCAGAAGGAGCCTATGTAGACGCGCAACACCTCGGGTGTGCCCACCACTTTGCCCAGTGCCCACATGAGCGCCCCATAGACACGCATCAGCTGCTGCGTCTCCACCATGTCAGCCTTGTTGAGAACCACACGGATCTTGTCCTCGTAGCCCCGCAAGGCACCAATAGCCTCTGAGAACTCATCGGAGATCTCCAGCTTGTGTGCATCGAAGAGAAGGATGATTAGATCCACACGTTCAGCAAACCAGCGCAGCACCGCGGGGAAGTCATAGCCTGAGGGCAAGGGCACAGGGCACAGACGTCAGCCCCCACCCTCCAGCCTTTCAGCCACATCCGTCACCTTGGATTGATACTGGGTGACACGGATGTTCAGGTTGCTCACCAGCAAAATCCCTGTCTACGCCACATAAAGGAGTTTATCCCGTTGCCCCCAGAATTTCCTCCACCATGATGTCTCTGGCCCCCCAGTCACCTGGCTACAGGGACACTCACCCCCTCCCGCCTTTCAGTCACTCACTAGGCAGCTGCTACGGAAGCACACTGGCATGGATGTACAGGTTGTTAACATACTCAAGTGTTTCCTAGCCGGCTCTCTGTGCCTCCATGGACTTCCCAGTGTTCAAAGTGGCCCCCTCACCCCAAGTTTTCCCCAGGACCCTTTAGATCACTCTAGAAACCAGCAACTGCAGAGTTCATATGGCCCTGGCTATGCTGCTGCTATAGCCGATGTTAAGTAGTTTCAATTTACTTAACAATATTTACTGAGAGCTTTTGGTATACCAGGTCCTGTCTTGGGCACAGGGAACACTACACGGAACACATAGGCCAGGTCCCTGCCTCCAGGGGGCACCAGGCCCAAGAGCTGGCTCCTGGGCTCACACATTCACGCATTCATCCCTTTCATCAGTCATTTCCTCACTCATCCATTCACTCATATTGTTCCATCTTTTGCATGTTCACTTATTCATTCATGAGCAAGCGATGCTTGGGAAAGCTGAGGAGAGGTTGACATCCTCTGTCAGGAAGAGGGTTTGAATCCCAGCTCTGTTCCCACTTGCTGTGTGACCTGCAGCCAGTAGAGAACCTCTCTCAACCTGTTTGCTCTCCCATGAAACAGGTTCACCTATGGTAATAAGAAATCACACTAGGACCTATCTCATGGGACTGTTGTGAGATGAAAAGAACACACCTATTAGCCATCATGTGTACCAGGCTCCCTGGGAGCACATTCAAGAGCTAGCCCCACAATCACTGCCTCGTGCTTCTTCCCAGGCTCACAGTCCACTAGGGACACAGGCCTGTTACCAGAATGGTCAGGCTGGGCTGTGTGGGAAGAGAGCCTCGTGAGCTGAGGGGGCGCCCAGCTGTTCTAACCTGGGGGTTGGTCAGGGAGGGCTTCCTAGAGGAGGCACTACAGAGGGGCAACCTGGAGGATGAGGACTTAATGGACAGAGCAGGGAACTATGGCTGATTCACTTGAGGTCACTTCCTGCTCTCCCTGATTTAACTCATTGAATTTTTTTTTATTTTAAAGATTTATTTATTTATGCATACAAGAACTGGGGTGCAGGTCAGAGGTATGGAGGTGAGAGGAATCAGCAGAGACAAATGGGGGAGCAGAACAGACAGAACTACTGAAATACACTGCAGCGGGGAAACAAGAGAGGTCTGCTGTACCCTGTGGGTCAGCTCCCTGGCCGGGGATGGAACTCACTCTGGTGTCTGCTGACAGCTTCACAGTGCTGCGCTTTAACCCCTTGCACCACCAGGGAGGGCTCAACTCATTGAGTGCTGAAAAGAAGCCCAGGAAGAATTTTTATGATTTCCATTTCCCAAATGAGGAAACTGAGGCACAGAGAGGTTAAAGGAATCACTCAAGACTCACAGCGGGAGCCAACAGAGCAGGAGCCCTGTGAGCCTCCACACGGGGCTGCAGAGTGGGGACTGGGCCAAGAAGGAAGCAGGCTCCTTGCAGCCTCTGGGGACTGGACGGAACGTGGTAGGGGACATTGTTTGGGGGGAGGAAAGACCAGGTCACAGGAGGGTCAGCAGCTGGGCTCCCACCTCCCTCTCCAATGTCTACACAAACACACACTGCCCGGATTTGGAAAGTGTGTCTCATGGGGCAGGGAGGGAGGGGGGAGGGAGGTTGAGTCAGTGTGGGAATGGGCAACGTGGCAGAGAAGCCAGGGTCACCCAGCCAGACTCACACAGGACTAATTTTAACCCTCAGGGCAACGCTGAGGTTGAGAGATCGTTATTTCCATTTCCCAGATGAGGAAACCGAGGCATGGACAGGCTAAGTAGCTTGCCCAAGGCCCTACCACACTACAATCACACTCACCCACGTTCAGTGCTTACACACCACAGCAGCCACGCAGCCCACCAACGCGCACACACATACGCACACCCCCAAGGTCCATCACAGCCACACGCTGTGCCACAAGATGCAGCTCTTAGACACGGCCTTGCACATCATCTGGGAGCTGTGCTGCTGTTCACGATCTCATAACCACAACAGCATGGGGAGACCCACACGAAGGAACAGATCACAGAGGCGCCCTGGCACACCTACTACCCACGAGGCATGGTCACACACAGTAGTACATACACAAACACACAATGGCACAAGAGCTACATACATGCAGTCACACACTCTCCAGCTGGTCTTCACAGCTGCACTTGCAGCTGGCTGTCTCACTCAGGGACAACCCCAGCAAGATCCGATACATACAGACTCACCATCTCCATCACACAATCGCCCAGACCCACACTCCACGACCCCCCCAGACAAGCCCCTCGCACACACACTCAACTCATGCACATTTCACGCTACAACGACATAGATACATAGTCACACACACCATCCAACAGCCTCAGCACCCTTCGGAGCCTCACCAAGTGACATCCAGCCGCCATCACTAGGTCAAGTTCTCTCTTTTCCTCTCACTCTCTCTTCCTCCCCTCACTGCCAGGGAAGACATACCCCTTCTCTGCTCTTGCCCATTCCTCCCACCCCCGGATCACAGCCTTTTGGACCCTAGCCAGCATCCCACCCTGGCTTGAAGACACTGCACCTTCCCACTCTCCTTGGGTGGGTACCCCAGGAATTCCCTCCAGAGAGTTCATCTTCCCCCTCAGGCAGGCAAGACTCCCCCTTCTGGAAGCTACAGCCTTTCCCCAGGGTGAGAGGGGCTGCACATTACTCGCTGGGCCAAGGCCTGGGACATGTTAAACCTCCAGCCCTTGCCCTTGGTCTGCCTGGGACCCAGCTTTCGGTCCCCTCTGCCCCACACTGCAGCCTCCTTTGCCCCAATTCCCTGGCCTCCCAGGCTAGTTGGGGCGGGGCTGAAGCATGGGGCAGGAGTGGGGGCCGGGCTCCCTCAGAGGCCCTGCTGGAATTCACCCCCCACTGCTCCCCCTGCACAGCTGTTTATAAATTCCAGGCTGGCCTTGGCCCCCACCCAGATTCTCCCTCCCAACCCCTTCCCTGCCCCATCTGTGGCCCAGACCCACAGCAAGGAGCTGGCTGGGGCCCAGGGGTGCCCTGCCTGCTGGGTCTCCCTCTTAGGCCTCCTTTACCTATTGCTACCTCATCTTCCAGATCTCTCTGTGCCTCTGACTTTGTGTATCTTTGTTTTCTTTCTTGCTGTTTTCTTTCTTCTATCCTTCCACCCGCCCAGACATGCAGCTGCTACAGCCTGTGCACACGTGTTCACCCACTGGCCTCCCCCACCCTCAACGACGTGTGCCAACATGGAGAAATCACAGCCTTCCACCATCTCCCTTCTGCTACCCAGCCACCTCAAGCCCTGCTGATGCAGGATCAAGTCCTAGTAGAGACTCTGGGGGCCTTCTGGCTCAGACCCAGGAGCCCAAGCCCTCCGGCCCCCTCCCCACTCAGACCCAGAGCCCAGGCCCCCCGGCCCCCTCCCCCCTCAGACCCAGGAGCCCAGGCCACCTGGCCCCCTCCTCCCTCAGACCCAGGAGCCCAGGCCCCTGGCCCCCTCCCCACTCAGACCCAGGAGCCCAGGCCCCTGGCCCCCTCCCCACTCAGACCCAGGAGCCCAGGTCCCCTGGCCCCCTCCTCCCTCAGACCCAGAATTCTAGGCCCCCAGCCCCATCCCTCAGACAAGAGCCCAAGCCTCACTTACCACGGCTCACTCTCTGTTTAGCACCTGACAGGATGCCAGGAGTGTCGATGATGCTAATGCTCTCCAGGACCTGATTGGGAAGCTGAGCGCACATGAACCTGGGCAGAGGGAAGGGCAGGGGTCAGGGCAAGAGGAGAGGACACATAAGAAGGGACATCAGGCCTGCACAGAGTACCACAAGGGAAGCTTTAAAGAGAAAAGCAAGAATAGAAAGTATAAAAACAAAGAGTTGATGCCTACAGAGCCCTCCCTGTGCGCCAGGTGCTGTTCCAGGCTTTCTCTGTAATGATCCACTTACTCCTCATGACAATCTTTATGGGGACAATGGTTATCCCCATTTTCCAGATGCAGATCAGAGTGGTTAGGTCATTTGCCAAGGCCACCCAGCTATTAAACCTGGTAGCCTGCTCCACAGGCTGAGGGGGTGAATCAGGGAGAGGGAAGGGAATTGGGTCTTAAAAGAAGAGAAACACAAATAGACTTGGGATTGAGATGGGACCAGAGACAGGAAGATGCACCCTAGCTCTGTCAGCTGCACACCTGTTGAGAAAGGTGTTCCCGAAGGGGTTAAGTTTGCGGAAGGGCTTTTCAGGGTCCACCACAAGGGCATTGCCTGGCACCGTGCCCTCAGTGTCACCGTGCATCACGGCCACGAAGCAGTCGGTGGTGGGCTCAGGTCCCACACGGGAGCCAGGCACCTCTTGTTCCAATAGGTACTGGATGAAGCTGGTCTTGCCGGTGCTGTACTGGCCAGCCACCAGCACCATGGGCTTGCCGTCGAAGTCGGCATCCTCCAGGGCTGGTGAATGGAAAGCCCCGAAGCGGTAATGCTCCTCCAGAGGCAGCAGCTTGGAGCGGTACAGCTCCTTGAGGGAGGAGGTCACTGTACGGATGGCCTCAGGCTGCTGGCCCCGACCCCCGCTCTTCTTCAGCCAGCTGAACATGGTGGCCTCACACGCTGCTGCCCACTGGGCTTGCCAAGGAAGACGTGCAGGGGGAGAGAGACCTGCTTGCAGGAGGAGGGTGTTGATGGAGGATTACCTACAGTAAGAGGAGAAGGAAGGCATTGAAGTAGCCTAGAAATCCAGGCCCTAGCCCCTCCTCCCTCAGATCAGGGGTCCAGGCCCCCGGCCTCCTCCCTCAGAACAGGGGTCCAGGCCCCCGGCCTCCTCTCTCAGACCAGGGGTCCAGGCTCCCGGCCTCCTCCCTCAGACCCAGGGATGGGTGGAGAAGGATGGCTGCCGGGGGTAGAGGAAGGAAAGCAGAGAGATGTAGTGCTTGGCAGGAGTTGATGTTTGAAAGAGGAAGAAAGTGATTCATTTTTCCAATGGGAGGAAGAGAAAGAGATTTAATGGGTGGAATGAATGAAAATAGGGGATTGACAACCAAGGGTAGAAGACCATGGGCCAGGCAAAGACAGGATGCGGAAGTTGCCTGAAAGAATATCTCCCGTCATTCTTCTCCTCTCATGTCCATCATTTCACATATTTTCCAGAAATCCCTACCTATGCCAGAAGCTATGGACCCAGAAATAAGCCAGACACCAGTCTCCACCTACTCAGAGTCCCCAGTGAGGAGAAGACCTAGGGTCTAAATAGTCAATGATCTGGCAAATGCCAGCTGGTCAAGTTGTGGGCATGGGATGGGGGGCATGGTGAACTCATCCCAGGATCAGCAGAGTTTGGGGATTAGGCTAGACAAGGGTGCTCAGGCAGAAAAGCTGGTGGGTTCCAAGACCTGAAGCTATAAAACAGCCGTGTGGGTTTGCTGTACACAGCGGTGGGAGAGGTCACCAGCAAGCACACAGGTCATGAGGGACCTCAGGCACCCATAAGTCAACTCAATCTCATATCAGTCTTATAAGGTAGGGCCGTTAACATCCCCACTTTGCAAGTAAGGACGTGCAGGCTCAGGTGGTTGGCATAACTGGCATGAAATCAATACCTAGAAGCTCTCAAACTGGGGCTTCAGAGCCTAGGGTCCTATCACAAGTGGAAGAGTTAGGGAGAAGAACAAGTACCCACCCAGTCGGCCTGTTCTCTCTGTTCCCTCGTTAGCCTTTGGTTCTCTGTAGGATCTGTACTGGAGTCCCCTTTACATTCCTGCTGGCAGTTATTTGGGTTTTTGCTCTCTTTTCCACCCCCAGTTTGATTAATGTTAAGTAGATGTTCTGGCTGTGCCACGTTCCCCAAAGAACCGGCTTTTGATCAGACTGGAGCCTCGAAATACCATTCTCCACTCAAAGAATTCAGGGCTTCTTGGAGAAATGGATGATTCCAGGGCTGATGCAAAGAAAGAACAAGTGAGCCTGAATCAGCTGGTGGGCAAGGGGTCAGAGATCAGGGGGCAAGTCACAGGTCCACAGGACCTATTTTGCAGAGGCTTCCTACTGACCATGGATGGGCAATTGGAATATCAAAAATAACTGCAATGCAATGCAAAAATAACTGCAACTGCAATATTCATGTGCTCATAATTCAAAACAGGGGGAAAATACAGGGGGAGAAGCAGTTGCAAATGGAGAGCCAAAGAGGTAAAGGAGAGACAGGAGTAGGAACTGAGGTGTTGGCAGAGGGTGCTGGCAGAGGGAGACAGCCCTGGGTGGTGTCCTAGGCAGGGAAGAGTCTGGGAAACCTCTCTGGAAGGACACCTGGGGTGGCTGGACACGATATGGGATTGCCCAGGTGGGCGAGGAGCTCTTGGGTGGCTGGACAGCCCAAGAGGGACAGAGATGGATGAGGTGGGGGTGGAGGCAACCCTCCCCCAACCCCGGCAGAGGGAATCTCCCCTGGTTGAGAGGATGGGAAAGTAGGAAAGATTGGGGAAGCCTGCGGGAACAGGACTGGGCCATAGCTGGGGGGACAGGAGAGGAGAATGGTGGACACTGTTCCAGCTGGACGGCGGTGGGGCAGGTTTGGAGGCACTGGGGACTCCGGGAGACCGGAGACCGTTACACTGAGGGATCTGGGGCTGAGAGTCTCGGGGGCGGGAGCTGGGATGTGGCAACTGCAATTGGGGGCCACTCACCGCTGCAGCCGCAGACGACCGGACCAGGAGAGCGGTCGGGGGTCCCACGGGGATCCGAGACGACCGCGGAGCGGCCTGTGCTCGCGGTCCCGTCCCGGGCAGTCTGAGCCGGGTGGGGCCGGGAGGAGGGTACAGAGAGGTGGGAGGGGCAGGGAGGGGGGCGGGCCGAGGCACCCCCCCACCCCAAACCTGGCGCATAGCCTCTGTCGCCCCCTGGTGGCAGTGAGCCTTGACGAGGCAGGAGAGTGCTCAGACTTTCAGTCGCGGGTTCAAATTCCACCTCACTTAACCTTGAGTTGTGTTGCTGCCATCTACGTCTCTCTTCTTAACAGGAATAATAGCAACCAGAACACAACCACAGCCATAATAATAAATGTAACCGCACCACCACGGAGGCCCCTACCTTGACGTTACTTCTTTTTAACCTGCCCCTCTCAGGCATGTCAGGTCTCCAAAAGCAGTGCTTGGGTCTGTTTTGTTCACTGCTGCAACTTCATTGCCTACAACAGCGCCCGGAAGGTGTGCAGGAAATATCTCACTGTTCGGGTGCGTTAACGCTGGTACTTGGAGAGCTAAACGAGTTCGAAAATTGGTCATGGCGACAGTCAGGCTCCTCTAGGAACAGACCCACCGCCGTTGAATGGTACACTTACAATGGGCAGGAGGCTGGGGGAATCGCTTCGTACAGCTCATCGTACAGGTAAGACAGATGCTGCCCAATGATGGGAGAAAAGTGTCAATAGGAGATTTCAGCATTGTGAGGCTGTCACAGGGTGTAACGACTCATACCTAGATGGGAGAGCTCCCTGCACAGTTGGGCTGGATGGCACCACGCCACGGGCCATTGTGCTCCTTTGATGACCACAATGTCATTCATTATTCATGTACAGCTGTACATACTTCAAACGTACAGTTCATATATTAATATCAACACATTTAATTAATACAGGCATCATAAATTAATGTAATATATAATGGCGTGTATATATAATATAACCTATATAAAGTGTTAGATAGAAATAATTATAAATGTATATAATTTGGCCAGATATAATATACACTATATTACTGTTGGGAGTGACCAAAGATTTACTGACAAGGACTGAATTAGGGTGGTAAAGAATTTTGCCTTGCATCCAAGCTTGATAAAGTGGTAGTAAACTGACCTTGAGATCCTGGATGGGACTAGCTGAAGGTGACAGCGAACTGGGCCTCACATCAAGGACACAGCGATGAGTCACCCCCTTTGGAATCTGAGTTTAGAATCTATAGAAGAGACCCTTCCCCCTTATTGAGTTGGCAGTAGCTGCGGACCCCATCCTAGGGGCTCCATCTCAGCTGCTGTTCCGGAGCAATAAACTCTGCTTGCTCAGTCTTTCTGCCTCCTGCCTTCCTTTCTTGTGGCCGGTCACAGAAGTTGGGACAAAACAATTACATAATAGTGTATAAACGAATCTTAAATATATGTATATTAATAAGGGGCCATGAATTGGTGATGAAGAACAGTGCAGGACCTATTCTGAGAGTTTGACAAGGATCCTCTGTCCCTTTCCCTAGGAAACAAGATTCTCTTACCATCTCCGTTGTTCTGAATCCTACCTTCCAGATGGAAATCCAGAGCAATGGAGGCCCAGGGGAGCCGAATCTTTCAGCCCTGTGTGTGGAAGAACGAGGCATGGTGCCCAGGTTTCCTGATGACAGTGCCCCAGGGCTTCCCAGCCTGCCATTTCTGGGCCCATGAACTTGGATGGGGCAAAAATACGCCATCTGGAGTTGGCACTCAGATGTAGGGTTTCTTTCAACCATGATTGTGAGCAACAAAGCCCAAAAGCATCAGCAAGACCCGTGCCACTCTCAGGAGAGAAATGGCACATGTTTTATCACATGGCGGTGGTTTGGAGAGGCCCCACCAGCTATTTTTTTTCTCTTGGTTTTTAAAAATTTATGCATACAAGAACTGGAGTGCAGGTCAGAGGTGCAGGGAGTGAGAGGGCTCACCAGAGAGGGAGGGGGGAGCAGAACAGGCAGATCCATGCAAACACCCAGCTGAGGGGAGCAGCGGGGAGCGCCCTGTGGGTCAGCTCTTCCTGGTCGGGGATCAACCTCAGGCCACGGTGGCTGGCAATACTTTGATAGTGTGAGACACAACCCCTGCACCAGCAGGGAGGCCCCCACCAGCTATTTCTAATTAATGCGTGGACACAGCAGACCCTATCACAGCTTCTCAGATTTGTGTTTTGTTCTTTTGATTTTTTAATACAGTGATAATATTTCAGTATAGTCGACTCCCTTGTAAGCTTGTGGGTTTAATTTTGTGCATTTAAAGGCACTATTCTAGGAATGGGCCAGTGGGGCGGATAAGCCCCTTGATGGTGCCACCCAGCACAGCTAATATGCCCAGTGCCCTTACTTACAGGCAGGTGCTGTCACCCAGCCTCTGACTTCCCTCCCAGTTGTCAGCTGTTACCCATTTTCTCTGACTTTCTTGCAGTCTCGGGAGGCTCTTCCCCTCGAAGACACAAACCCAGATTTTTTTCCCTTACCTTCTTCCCTTCCTCCTTCCTTTGTCAGAACTGGACAGACAAATTCTGGCACATTCTACAATGTGGGAACCTTGAAGATATTATGCAAAGTGAAGTAAGCTAGTCACCAAAGAACAAATAAAGCAGGTAAAGTGCTCTGGTAGCCAAATTCTTTGAGGCAGTAAGTCAAAATAGTGGTTGGCCAGGGGATTGGGAGGTGGGGAAATCATGGGGACAGAGGGTGAACATACCGTAAAGTGTTCTGGGAACAACCCCTCCCTGCTCTAACAGATAAGAGCAAAGTCACCTGCCTAAGACTTGAAGACAGAAATCTGCCAAATCTACTGCCTGAACCAGGCCTTTTCAACCCCACCATGCCTGAGGAGCCCGATAAAGAAGATTAAAGCTCTGGGTACATAAGCTGTGTCTCTCCACAGTGTATGTGTTAGGAAGATTAAATCCCAGCATTGCCTTCCTCTGCACAGAGATGACACTCATGTATCTTTAGGTCACGACAACACAGACCCAAAAGCCCCTCTGTCAAGAATATTTATATTTTCATTGTCTATGATTTACTGTTCCCACCTATATACACACCAAATTCAAAGTTGTGTCTGTTGGGACAGTTCTTGCAGAATAATATCTGTCAGGCTGCATCCCAGTTTGAATCCTCACTTTGTCTATTGTTGGGACTTTTATTCCAGTTCAAAAGAGTTTCCGTTTTGTAAGATGAAACGAGTACAGAGGCTGGATGGCCACACAGTGTGAAGCATTTAAGGTACACTTAAAAATGGTTAGCACTGTAAAATGAATGTTTTGGATATTTGACCTCAATTATTTTTTTAAGAACCACCTTTTAATGTTTTTAAGGTTTATTTTACTGATTTATGCATACAAGAGCTGGGGTGAGGGTCAGAGGTGTGGTGGGTAAGAGGACTCACCAAAGATGGAACGGGGAGCGGAACAGGCAGGTTGAAATTCACTGCTGAGGGGAGCAGCAGGGAGACAGGAGAGATCTGCCATGCCATGTGGGTCACTCCCTGAGGATAGCTTCATAGTGCTGAGACTAACCCCTTGTGCCACCAGGGAAGCCTTTATTTGACCTCAAGGAAAACAAAATCAGATGGAATAGACAGCTAGAGAGCCTCATAGTTAGGAACTTCGAGCAGTGTCAGTTTGGATCCTGATTCTGCTGGTGTCCAGATAACTTAGGCTATGAAGTAACCCTCGGGCCTCCCTTTTCCCAGGTGACTCAGCTGTGGGACATGGGACCCAAAGATTCTCGCATTCAGCTGAAAAGTTTGGCGGGAAGGTTACCATTTTAAGACCCAAGGCACCCCAGGGGTGAGGCAAAGGGAAGGGAGCTGTCTGGCCCCTGTAGCCTCCTGCAGACGCTTCCTTGGCAGAGGCTGGGTGAGCATGTGCAGAGGGGAAGAACTTAGGCACTGTGGTCAGACCACCCACTAGCCGCCCACTTGCCCCTCACTGCATCCCTTACAGTCTCAGTTTTCTCATCTGAAAAATGGGGTGATCTCTCACATGGGGACTGACTTGAGGATTAAAAGAGACACTCTAGCTAAGAGTTTGGAAGGATGCCCAGGAAGTGTTCCATAAACGTTAGTCAGTGATGTTCCTCTGTTCAGTAGTATGCAGTCAGCGTTCGAGAATCCAGGCCCCAAGAGTCGGCGGTAAATAGCCTTTTTTTTTTTTTTTGCGAGGCTATGTAGTGTTTGCGGGAGGATGTGGGGACCCAAGGGTGTTAAGAACTGCTTTTCTCTTTTAAGAATTTATTTATTGCACGTGGGGGTAGTAGATCTAGGCCTAGGATGGATGGCGGTCCCTCTTCAGAGACCTCGTGGAACAGTTCCCGATCCTCCGTCCACACCAAGCCTCCAGGGACCTGCCGAGAAACAGGGGCATCACCTGGTCCAGTCGAGGTCACGGCCCTGCTGGTCTCCCAGTTTCCGCCCTCGCTGTCTGTTCCATTCGTGGCCGCCAGGGGGCGCCTCGGCGACTTAAGTAGGTTCACAGCTTGCTTGTTTCCTTTTGTTTTTTTAAGGTGAAAAATCATTTGCTTGAAGTTTTCTGCTCAGAAACTTCCCGGATCCTGCCTCTCAGAGTTCGTTAGGAACACATCCTCACTAGGAAGCACAAAGTTCTACACCATAGATCTCCTTTGTTTCCTTTGACCTCAACCCTAGTTTCCTTTCACCTCCCCTCAAATAGGTTGCAGCCACAAAGGCTGCCTAGCTGTTCCTCAGCACTCCAGGCATGCTCTTGCTTCAGGACCTCTGCACTGTCTACTTCTGAATGTTTTTCCCACAGGTCTCCCTCCTTCATCTTCTGCATGTGGACTCAAATGTCACCTCCTCAGCCAAGGTGGGTCCCTTCCGGCCAGACCCTGAGGCCCTTCATGTGCAGTTGGGCAGGCTGTTCACTGCACAAAGCACTCTCTGAATGGGTTGAGAGGGGACTAGAATCCAGCTCACACTCTGTGCTCCCAGCTCCAGAGGGAAAAGGTGCTTTTTTTTTTCTTCACACAAAGTCCTCCTTTATCCTGTGAGGATATGTAATGAGGATTTCAGCCTCTATACCTGTGAAAGAAAGTCAGATCTTCAAGTCACTCAACCTGCGCTATTTTGTTAAAACTGCCTGCTTGATTTTTCCTCAAATCACCACCTGACACTGTCCTTATTTACCGCTGGTCCGCCTCATGAATGGACACCTGATTGGTGAATCTACTTGTTAAAACTGATGTGTAAGCTCCTGACTCACAGTGCTTTTGGGGGACATGCACAGACTGGCAAGATATTTGAGTTGCACCCCCCCCCCCATGATGGCAACAGTCCCTGTCAGAGGTCCAATGAGGCAAGAGCCTGTCACTTGCCTCTCCAATTATAAACCAGAGTCTTTTTTGAGGACTATGTTGCTTTTTCCGTGTGTGTGTGTGTGTTCTTCTTCGGTGATTTTACTATTTTAAATTGCCCCAAGGCACTGAAATGCAGGCTCATGTCGCTTAGTGCAGGAAGACTGAAGGGCACCCTATGAAAACAGTAGCCAAGCCTCAGTTTATGACATTCTGGCAATGTGGATGTAGCACATAAAACAACAGTCCCCAAAGGCTGGCCCACCTGGTGTAGGGTGCAGCAGGCTGTGATTACCCTCCGTGACATCTGCACAACCAGTGTGTCCCTTAATAACACTACATTAAGCTCAGCAGTGCATGACTCTGTTGGATAAGCTGCCTTCAGAGCCCAGTTATGGTCTTGTTGATCATTAGTTCCATGTGAATGACTGTAAGTCTATGCAAATAAGCTGTCTTTAAACAGAAACACATGGCCCTGCCTGGTGGTGCAAGAAGTTGGAGCGCAGCATTATGAAGCTAGCCACAGCCACTGCAGCACATCACAAGTTCAATCCCTGGCCAGGAAGCTGACTCAGGGCACAGCAGACCTCTGCTGACCTGCCGCTGCTCCCCTCAGCAGCGTGTTTCAGTTGATCTGCCTGTTCTGCTCCCCACTCTGTCTAAACCTCCTATCACCACCAACCCCACACCTCTGGCCTGTACCCCAGTTCTTATATAGATGGATAAATAAAAAAAAAACAAACAGAAGCATGCAAAAAACAAGGAAATTGATCAAGTGGTAAACCATGAGTGAGGCGTGGCGGAGGCCGAAGCCCTGTATTTCCCTAGGAGTAGGGATTGGTCTTCACTAGTTTGGAACTTCACCCTGTGTTTGGTTTAGTTTACTATCTGCGTGGTTGTTTCCCACCTCACCCCATCCTTGCAGGGGCCTCTCTTTGCCTAGTTCAGGAGGCACCCAGTAGGTGCTCAACAAACAGAGGTGGCATAGATCCTCACAATCTCTCCGCAAGTCTCACCCCAATCCCATACCCAAACCACCACCCAAAGACCCAAAAACAAGGGGGCCGAGGGGGCAGAGGTACAGTTTTAAAAAAAGGATCGGTTTTTAATTTACAAGAGTTCTAAATGTACAGAATTCTCCTTTAAAAAAATCGTTATACACAATAAATACAGTACAAAAAAATTTATCTTACAGTACTAGTTTTGTCTCCGAGATTTCAAAATCTGGCGTGGTGGCTGTGGCAGGAAGAACAGAGGGAAGACTGGTTGGGGAGGGGGTGGAAGGAAGACCCCGTTTCCTGTTTGGAGGTACCGGGATTTCAGAGGTGGGACAGGAGGGTTCGAAATCTCTCTTGCTCGCTAGAGTACGCACACAGGGACATGGGACAAGGAGCTGGACGCACACACGGATGAGACAGGTGCACTCGGCACGGTGCTCCGTGGGGAGGGTCCTGGGATGCCGGTCCACCAGCTCCATCCTGCGTTCCCTTTTACAGCCTGTGGGGGGGTGATGGGGATACCCCTAGAGCAGCTCCCCGGACCCCTGAGGGCTCCAAGGGCCCTCAACACCTGGTCTGGCTAAGCCACACAGACAAGACTGGTACCCCGACACTCATGAGTAGTGGGATCAACCAGGGTACTCCCATTCCTGGCAAACACAGGTGTGTCCCTACCCCCTCACGCAGGGGCGCGGTGTGGTAAGAAGTGGGAAATAGGAAATGACACCAGGGTTACCCCCTCCTTTGGCAGGGGTGACATTTTACATAACAGCCCCCTCCCCGAAATCCACAACCCCCGCTCAACAACCTGGCTGAAGCAGGAGGTGGGGGAGGAGGCCTTTGTGACTCAAATAACTTAGGCAAGAAAAACTGTCAGGGGATCCCCGGCTCGTGTCCCCCAGAAGGCTGAGGTCAGAGGCCCTGCTGCCCTGTGCCCCATGCTCCCCGGAGTCCCGGCTGAGCAAAGGGACGAGGCAGGGAAGACCAGCCCGGTGTTATCTGTTTAACGTCCTGGCACTGAGGCCGCCGTTGTGACTGGAGGGTGGGTAGGCCTCAGGCCTGTGCAGAGGCGACGGGGAGGCTGGCGTGACGGCGGTGGGGGCAGCGTGGGGGTACGGGGGTGCAGATGTCCGGCCTGGGGCCTGCTGGAGGTTCAGGATGCTGTCGATGGCACTCTGCAGGTGTTCCGTGAGTGTGTCATCCTGCGGGCTGTCACTGGAGAAGCTGGCCTGGTCCACATCAGGCGACTCAGACTTGCGCCGTTTGGCTGGGGGCAGCGGGGGAGCCTCCCAGCCCGGATCCCTGCTGCCGCTGCCCTGCCCCGCACTGGCCGCAGGGTCCGGGGCCCCCTTCAGCATGCGCTGGTACAGCTCGTCCTCCACGGCCGCCAGCTCGCGAATGAGCCCGCTGGTGGCTTCATCTACTTTGGTGGGCAGGGGTGCTGGGCTGCTGCTCCCGGCCCGGCCGCTCGCCGCCCCCTCGGCCGCTCCGCTGCCCAGAGCCTCCACATTCTCACGGTAAGTCTTCCGGAGGGGCAGGCGGGGACAGTGGGGGGCAGGGGCCTGCGACTTGCGCTCGGTGGGGGCCGGCGGCGGG